AAAAATCAAAAAACTAGAAAGTCAAAAAACCTAGAAATTGAGAAAAATTGAAAAATCGAAAAATTTAAAAACCGAAAAATTGAAGAATCAAAAAATCAAAAAGTGAAAAATCGAAAAGGTAAAGAATCTAAAGGTAAAGAATCTAAAAAAAAAAACCGAAGAATCGAAATGTGCATTGAAAAATCCCAAACTGAAACATCGAAAACTATAATATCGAGAAAATGAAAAGTCGAAAAATCAAAAAATCGAAAAACTGAAATTTCGGACAATTGAGAAATCGAAAAATACAAAAACCGAGAAATTGAAAATTAGAAAAATTGAAAAAAAATTTTCAAATCGAAAATGTAAAATTTAAAAAATCGATAACCTAGAAATCGAGGAAAATTGAAGAATCGACACACTGAAAAATAGGGTAATTGAAAAATCCCAGAACTGAATATTAAAAAATTGAAAAATCGAAAAATTTAAAAACCGAAAAATTGGAAAACCAAAAAATTTAATAGCGAGAAGTCGAAAAATCGAAACATCAAAAAAGTGATAAATCGAAATATGTACTGAAAAATTCCAAAATTGAAACATTGAAAACTTGAGAAATTGAAACTGCATTGCAAAATCTTCGACTGAAACATCGAAAACTATAAAATCGAGAAAACCAAAAGTCGAAAATTCAAAAAATCGATTAATCGAGAAATTAAAAAATCGGAAATTTAGAAACGCCGAAAATTGGAAAATCGGGAAATAAAAAAATCGAGAAATCGAAAAATTTAAACAAAAACTTTAAAATTGGGAAACAAACAAAAAAAAAAAATTTAAAAACGAAAAATGTAAAAATCGAAAAACTAGAAAGAAAAAAAACTTGAAATGGAGAAAAATTGAAAAATAGGGAAATTGAAAAATTCCAAAACTGAATGTCGAAAAATTGAAAATATGAAAAACCAAAAAATTTAATAGCGAAAAGTTGAAAATTCGAAACATCAAAAAAGTAAAAATCGAAATATATATGTATTGAAAAATTCCAAAATTGAAACATTGAAAACTTGAGAAATCGAAAAATTGAAAAACCAAAAAAGTAGAAAATCAAAAAATTGAAGTCGAAAAATCGAAAACTATAAAACCGAGAAAACGAAAAGTCGATAAAAAAAATCGCTTCATCGAGAAATTCAAAAATTGAAAAGTTAGAAACACCAAAAACTGAAAAATCGTAAAACTGAACTTTCGGAAAACTAAAAAATCGAAAAATAAAATAAAAAAATCGAGAAATCGAAAATTCGAAAAATTTAAACAACAATTTTTAAATGGGGAAGTGGAAACATCAGCAAAATTGTAAAAATAAAAAATGGAAAATGTAAAATTTAAAAAATCGAAAAACTAGAAAATCAAAAAAATAGACATCGAGAAAAGTTGAAGTATCGAAAAACAGAAAAATCGAAAAATTTAAAAATCGAAAATTGAGGAATCAAAAAATCAAAAATCGTAAAAATCGAAAAATTGAAAAATCAAAAAATGTAATAGCGGAGAAGTTGAAAAACCGAAGGATCGAGTAATTGAAACATCAAAAAAGCGAAAAATCGAAATATGTATTAAAAATCCCAAAATTGCAACATTGAAAACTTGAGAAATCGAAAAATCGAAAATGTAAAAAAACAAAAAAATCTAAAAATTGAAAAATCGAAGTGTGCATTGAAAAATCCCAAACGAAACATCGAAAACTATAAAATCGAGAAAACGAAAAGTCAAAAAATCAAAAAATCGATTAATCGAGAAAATGGGAAATCGAAAATTAGAAACGCCAAAAATTGAAAAATCGCAAAACTGAAATTTCGGAAAATTAAGAAATCGAATAACAAAAAATCGAGAAAACGAAAATTCCAAAAATTAAAAAAAATTAAAGCGGGAAATCGAAACACCAAAAAAATTGTAAAAACTAAAAATAGAAAAATCGAAAATGTAAAATTTAAAAAATTGAAAAACTAGAAATTAAGAAAAATCGAAGAATCGAAAAACTGAAAAATAAGGAAATTGAAAAATCCCAAAACGGAATGTCGAAAAAAATAAATATGTAAATAAAAATCGCAAAATCGAAAACTTCAAAATTGAAACACTTCACTTAAAAAAGCGATAAATCAAAAAATTGAAAAATGGAAACATCGAAATTTCGATAAATCCAAACAGAAATTTTAAAAATCTAAAAACTGAAAAATCTAAAAGGGACAGTCGAAAAATTGAAAAATGGAGAATTGAAATATCAAAAATGTGAAAAATCTAAAATTTAAAAATTCGAAAATTGAGAAATCAAATCACAAAAAAAAACGAAAAAATTAAAATCTAAAAAAACGAAAAAGTACAAAATCAAAGTCGAAAAATCGAAAATTTGAAAGATCCCAAAACTGAAACATCAAAAACTTGAAAAATCAAAAAGCCGAAAAATTGTTATTCAATTGTTTCTTTCCCAAAAATGTCGATGTCTAGAGACAATTTCAACATGGATGCATAAACCACAACTTCAGGACTGTGTTATCTTTTAACATTTAAATAAGATGACGGAAACGGGAGACCAATTTTTTCGTACTGTAGGAGTCATGAAACGTCAACAAAACATGAAAGTAGCCCTATGGACTCCATTCTTATTACTATCTAAAAGTATTATTATTATTATTACGAAAGATATAAAGAAAGTACCTAAACAATCAGCGATTTGGAAGGCATCCAACTCCTCAATCGGCTCGCAGATCCTACTAACCACCGGATGTATCTGCTGCGCCAAATAATAATTAACATCCACCTTCAACTCCGTCGAGTTCTTCAGCTCCTCCACATGGTACGCCCTCTGCGTGGCCGCCTTGCCGCTGCCGTCGTCGCAAATCACGTACGGCACCGTGTCCCCAGCCCTCAGGTGCCCCCCCGACTCCTTATTATACCGCAGCGCCACCTGCACGTGCGGCTGCGTGTTCACGTCATTATACAAACTCGGGTTCTTCGTGAGCTGCTTGGTGATAACCAGCAGCGAAAGAGGCACCTTCCCGCCCTCCAGGTCCTCCCTCAGCTTGCGCAGGTGCGCCAGAATGCCGGCGACGCGGTCGTCCGACGACTGCTCCCCCAAAATCTCCCCCAGGATGAACTTGCCGGCCTCGGAGGCCAAGCGCGACCAGTCGCACCGCACCACGTCCAAACCCTTGTACTCCACCTCGGTGCGCAGCTCGCCGTTCTTCCCCCTCGCGAGAATAACCGCCGCGTACTTCTTCTTCTTCAAGAGCAGGAGGTACTTGAAGACGCCGTCCACGTCGAGCTCCACCTGCTTGTACAGCTTGTTGATTTCTTGCTTAATCTTGGAGCCGATGAGGGAGACCTGGTCGAAGTCGACGATGTTGGTGTTGATCATGAGACTGTCGGTGTCGCCGTAGATGACTTCGTAGTTCATGCGTTGGACGATGTCTTTGGTGTTGGTGAGGATCTCGCGGCCTTTGTGGGTGATCAAGGCGGCGAGGTTCTTGGCGAAGAAGCGCGAGTTGGAGAAGCCGAGGCAGCCGTACATGCTGTTGGCGGTCAACTTCAAGGCCATTTGTCTTATGTGGTATTGCATGCGCTGGTCGGTGCTTAGGTCGGGGTTGGCCATCAACTTCTTCACCTCGCGCCGGCTTTCCACCAGCTTGCGGATCTCAGTCGGGAGAATCCCCGGAGGAAGACTCTTATCCGGGAGCACCATGTTATCCTCGCTCAATCCCGTGGGCATATGAAGTTTTTATTCGTTGCCAGACCTAGGGGCGGAGCCCAATTGCAAAATCCAGATTTACCCACAAAAATTCACCATTTTAAACGTGTTTGAAATTTAAAAGAATAAAAAAAAATCGTCACAATTAGGATGGGGTGGGTGGGCGGGGTTTATATTTTGCCTGTTTTTCTTAATATACACAATATTCTTTGAACAACACGATACTCAAAAACATGTTTTTAATTACTTGTAAAGAAATAAGGATTATGCAGTTAAGCTCCACGGTGGTTCACGGCGATAAAAAAAATCATCACAACTGAGATTCTTACCTTTCTGCCTTTTTATTTTAGGGATGTAGACTTCTTTTTACAACATGAAACTCAAAACATGTTTAAAATAGAAAATTTGTCTAAGGAAATATCGATTTTACAACTAGACTCCGCCCCATAATAACAAAATCCATATTTCGTTGCAAAAATGTACTATTTTAGTCATGTTCTAAGTTTCTTGTTGTGAAAAGATGGCCATGTATATTAAGAAAAAAAAGGCAATTCTGATGATTTTTTATTAGTCGTAAGCCGAGGGGCGGAGCTTAATTGTAAAATCCTTATTTTTCTACGAGAAATTACCATGTGAAATATGTTCTTAAGTAATCGTGTTATACAAAGAAAACTAAATGTGTTAACTAAAAAAAAAAAACAAAAGAGAAGCCCCACCCTTCCGTCTCGATCTCAATCGTGATGAATTTTTCATTCGTTATCAGACCGAGGGGCGGAGCGTAATTGCAAAATTGATATTTCCCTATACAAGTTTACGGTTTTAAACATGTTTTAGGTTTCTTAAAAAAGGCAAAATATAATCCCCACCCACCCGCACTATCTCAATTCTGATGATTTTTTTATTGGTCGTGAGTCGAGTCAAGAAGGTGGAGCTTATGCATAATCCTTATTTCTCTATGAGAGATTAAAAACATGTTTTGAGTATCAAAAGATTAAGCCCCACCCATACCTGCCCTGATCTAAATAGTAATTAAGTTTTCATTCGTTGCTAGACGTAGAGGCGGAGCCTAATTGCAAAATCCATATTTCCTTACAAAATTTACCATTTTCAACCTGTTTTACGTTTCCAAGAATAAAAAAAAATCATCACAATTGAGACAGAGCGGGTGGGCGGGGTTTATATTTTGCCTTTTTGTTTTTTGGTTGAAAACCCAACGTCAACGGCAAAAAATATTAAAATCGACCTTGAATCGTGGAACATGGACCCTGTTGGTTGAACAAAGTGACAGGACTACTTTTCTCATTTTTTTATCAAAACAGTACACTATTAAAAATAAAACTAAACGACTTCAATATACACAAATAAGATAAAAATAAAAAATTAATCCAGATCTTCCAAGTCCTCCTCTTCTTCAGGAAAATCATCGCCTTCTTCCACCCCACCTTCCACCTTAATCTGCGAAAACACGGAAAACATCCCGCTTAAATCAACCGTCGAATAAGCGCAATGTTCCAACCGCTTTTGCACAGTCCCCCTGACATCTTGATACGCTTTATCCACCTGGTAGTCCAGCAAAGGTTCTAAAATTCAAAATCAGAAAAAAACAGAAAACACAATATAAATAAACACTCACTTCTAGCCAGTTTGCTCAAATCAAAGATGTGATACAAATACGTGATTTGGGAGTACAAATCGTTCTCTGTGTATTTCTTCAGCAGGACTGAGCTATGGCATGACGTGCACACGGGAAATCGTCCTGCGAAGTTCAGCGGCATGGCTGTGGTCTCGTTCGTGCACATCGGGTCCTCACAGTACATTTCGTACAGGTAGTACTTATCAATGTAGGAGTTGATAGCTGTTATTAGTTGATTTTGGACGTAGCCTACGTAGTCCGCTGGTCTGACTTTGCATTGGGGGTTGGCGCACTTTTCCAAAACTGGCACATTATTGTGTAACGGTCCTTCCACGCAATTCTCGGTTTTACAACTGTAGCACTTAAAGACGAATTTGTCGACGTTGCGAAATTTTATTTCGGGTTTGGTGATGTTCTCGCCTCCGAATTCGTCGCTCTGCTTCGTTTTTTTGAAGTTGGAACTGTCGATACCTGAAGAGAAAATTGGTCTAAGGTTATTTGATAGAACTTCATTCGCCCCTGAAGTGTACCCCAAAAAATCCCGCTTCTTTGAGCAATTATAATTTTTTTGTTAAGCTTTATAAAGTAAAAACCAGTGTAAGTAAAGAACACTTCCGCAGCCCCGACGCCGGGGGACAAGTGGGGACATAATATTTAAAGCAAAAATTAAAAAATCGAAATCCGAAAAGTCGAAAAATCCAAAGATCGGGCAATCAAAACATGAAAAAATCCAAAACTTGAAAAATCCAGAAATTGAAAAACTCCCAAAAAAAGTCGAAAGAACAAAAAGTCGAAAAATGAAAAAAATCGAAAAATGGAAAATGTGAAAAATTGAAAATCTAAGAACTGAAAAATGAGAAAAAGCTAAAAATCTAAAATTTAAGAAATCGAAAAAGTAAAAAATCGAAATACTGAAAAATTCCAAAACTGAAACATCGAAAACTTGAGAAATCGAAAAATTTTAAATAGGGGAAATGGAAACAAAAAATGTAAAAACGAAAAATGGAAAAATCGAAAAACTGAAAATTTAAAAAAATTAGAAATCGAGAAAAATTGAAAACTGAAACACTGAAAACTTGAAAAGTCGAAAAGTCAAAAAATTGAAATGTCCATTGAAAAATCGCAAACTGAAACATTGAAAACTATAAAATCGAGAAACCGAAAAGTTGAAAAATCAAAAAATCGAAAATTTAGAAACGCCAAAAATTGAAAACTCGTAAAACTGAAATTTCGGAAAATTAAGAAATTGGAAATTAAAAAAATCGAGAATCTAAAATTTAAAAAAAATGTAAAAATCCTAAAATCGAAACATCAAAAAAATAAAAAATTAAAATATGTATTGAAATCGAAATTTGAAAAATTGAAAAATTTAAAAACTCGAAGTCGGAAAATCGAAAAATTAAAAAATCCAAATGTGCATTGATGAAAATCTCAAACTGAAACATCGAGAACTATGAAATCGAGAAAACGAAAACTCGAAAATCAAAAATCGATTAATAGAGAAATTGAGACATCGAAAATTTAGAAACGCCAAAAATTGAAAAATCAAAAAACTGAAAAATTGTAAAACTGAAATTTCGGAAAATTGAAACATTGAAAAAAGACGAGACTCGAAAATTCGAACAATTTAAACAAAAAAAATCTTAAAATCGGAAAATCGAAACATCAAAATTTAAAAAATCGAAAAACTAGAAATCGAGAAAATTGAAGAATCGAAACAGTGAAAAGGGAAACTGAAATTTCCCAAAACTGAATGTCGAAAAGTTGAAAAATCAAAAAGTTTAAAAATCGAAAAATTGAAAAACCAAAAAAAATTAATAGCGAGAAGTCGAAAAATCGGAGTATCGAGAAATCCAAATATCGAAATGTGCATTGAAAAATCCAAAACTGAAACATCGAAAGCTACAAAATCGAAAAAACGAAAAGTCGAAAAATCAAAAAATCGATTAATCGAGAAATTGAGAAATCGAAAAATTTACCAACGCCAAAAATTGAAAAATTGAAAAATCGAAAAACTGAAATTTCGGACAATTGAGAAATCGAAAAATAAAAAATTCGAAAAATTTAAACACAAAAATTTTAAAATTGGGAAATCGACACATCAAAATAAGTGTAAAAAACAAAAATAGAAAAATCGTAAATCTAAAATTTAAAAAATCGAAAAACTAGAAAATCAAAAAAAACTAGGAATCGAGAAAAATTAAAGAATCGAAAAACTGAAAAATAGGGAAATTGAAAAATCCCAAAACTGAATGTCGAAAAATTGAAAAATCAATCGAGAAATTGTGAAATCGAAAATTTAGAAACACCAAAAAATTCGAAAAAATTGAAGTTTCGGAAAATTAAGAAATAGAAAAAGAAAAAAGTCGAGAAATCGAAAATTCGAAAAATTTGAACACAAAAATTTTAAAACAGGAAAATCGAAACATCAAAAAAAGTGTAAAAATAGAAAATCGAAAATGTAAAATTTAAAAAATCGAAAAACTAGAAAGTCAAAAAAACTAGGATTCGAGAAAAATGAAGGAATCGAAAAACTGAAAAATAGGGAAATTGAAAAATCCCAAAACTGAATGTCGAAAAATTGAAAAATCAATCGAGAAATTCAGAAATCGATAATTTAGAAACACCAAAAAAGTCGAAAAATTGAAATTTCGGAAATTTTAAGAAATCGAAAAATAAAAACGTTGAGAAATCGAAAATTCGAAAAATTTAAACAAAAATTTTAAAACAGGAAAATCGAAACACCAAAAAAATGTAAAAACGAAAAATAGAAAAATCGAAAATCGAAAAATTGAAAACCTAAAAAATTTAACAGCGAGAAGTCGAAAAATCAAATGATCGAAAAATCGAAACCTCAAAAATGAAAAGTCCAAATATGTACTGAAAAATCAAGAAAGTACAAAATCAAAAAAATCGGAGTCGAAAAATCGAAAAATTGAAAAATCCCAAATTGAAACATCGAAAACTATAAAATCGAAAATTTAGAAATGCCAAAAATGGAAAAATCGTAAAACTGAAATTTCGGAAAATTAAAAAATCGAAAAATAATTGAGAGATCAACAATTCGAAAAATTAAAAAATAAATTAAAGTAGCAAATCGAAAAATGGAACAATTGAAAATGTAAAATTTAAAAAATCGAAAAATTAGAAAATCAAAAAAACTAGAAATCGAGAAAAATTGAAGAATTGAAAAACTGAAAAATAGTGAAATTGAAAAGTCCCAAAACTGAATGTCGAAAAATTGAAAAATCGAACAATTTAAAAACCGAAACATTGAATCAAAAAATCAAATATTTAAAAATGGAAAAACATCAAAAAATCGAAGTCGAAAAATCCAAAAATTGAAAAAATTAAATGGGCATTGAAAAATTTCAAATTGAAATATCGAGAAAACGAAAAGTCGAAAAATCGAAACATCGATTAATCGAGAAATTGAGAAATCGAAAATTTAGAAACGCCAAAAATTGAAAAATCGAAAAATTGAAATTTCGGAAAATTTAAATACAAACAAAAATGTAAAAACGAAAAATAGAAAATTCGAAAATGTGAAATTTTAAAAATCGAAAAACTAGAAAAAAAAAATAGAAATTCAGAAAAATTAAAAAATCGAAAAACTGAAAAATAGAAAAATTTAAAAATCCCAAAATTGAAAAATCGAAAAACTTAAAAATCGAAAAATTGAAAAACTAAAAAAATTCAATAAGCAGAAGCCGAAAAATCAAAGAATCGAGAAATTGAAACATTAAAAAAGTGAAAAATCGAAATATGTACTGAAAAATTTCATAATTGCAACATTGAAAACTTGAGAAATTGAAAAATCGAAAAAATAAAAAATCAAAAACCGAAGTCGAAAAATCGAAAATTTAGAAACGCCAAAAATTGAAAAATCGTAAAATTGAAATTTCGGAAAATTAAGAAGTATAAAAATAAAAAAATTGAGAAATCGAAAATTTGAAAAATTAAAACACAAATCAGGAAATCGAAAAAAAAATTGTAAAAACGAAAAATGCAATAATCGAAAATGTAAAATTTAAAAAAATCGGAAAATTAGAAAATTGTAGAAATCGGTAAAAATTGAAGAATTGAAAAACCGAAAAATAGTGAAATTGAAAAACCCCAAAACTAAATGTAGAAAAATTGAAAAATCGAAAAATTTAATAAAAAAATCAAAAATTCTAAAAATGGAAAATTCGAAAAACCAAAAAATTTAATAGCGAGAAGTCGAAAAATCAAAGAATCGAGAAATCAAAACATCAAAAAATTGAAAAATCTAAAGATGTATTGAAAAATCCCAAAATTGAAACATTGAAAACTTGAGAAATCGAAAAATTGATCTGAAATATTAAAAAAATAAAAAATCAAAAAAAAAGTCAACAAATGGAAATGTGCATTGAAAAATCGAAAATTTATAAACGCCAAAAATTGAAAAATCGAAAAATTTAAAAATTGTAAAACTGAAATATTGTAAAATTATGAATTGAACTTAAAAAAAAAAATAAATCGAAATTTTGAAAACAATACGTATTAAGAAATTTAAAATTGTAATATTGAAAATTGGAAAAATCGAAAATGTAATATTTAAAAAATCAAACAAAAAAAAAACTATAAATCCAGAAAACTTGAATTGAAAAACCGAAAAATCGGGAAGTTGAATAATCCCAAAACTAAAATGTCGAAAAATTGGAAAATCTAAAAGTAAAAATCGCAAAACTGAGAACTCGAAATAACCCAAAATCGAACCATCGAAATCTCGATAAATTAAAAAACTGAAAAGCCGAAAAATTGAGAAATCTAAAAGCCAGTGTCCAAAAATCGAAAGATCGAGACACTGAAACATGAAAAAAGTGAAAAATTTAAAATTTCTAAAAATTGAAGAACTATAAAATATAAAAAATTGAAAATTTCCAAAACTGAAACATTGAAAACTTGAAAAATCGAAAAAATGAAAAAGTAAAAATTCGACTAATCGAGAAATTGAGAAAACGAAAATTTTAAAGACAAAAATTGAAAAAAAAAAATATATATCCTTACACTGAAATATCGAAAAATTAAGTATTCGAAAAACTGAAAAATTGTTATTCAGCCTTCCCAAAAATCTCGATGTCTAGATGAAAATTCAACATGGATTCATAAACCCCAAATTCAGGACTGTGTTATCTTTTAACATTTAAATAACATGACGGAAACGGCGACCTATTTTTTCGTAATCTAGGAGCCATGAAACGTATATTACTATATAAAAATATTATTATCATCATTATTATTATGAAAACTATAAAGTAAATACCTAAACAATCAGCAATCTGGAAGGCATCCAACTCCTCAATCGGCTCGCAGATCCTACTAACCACCGGATGTATCTGCTGCGCCAAATAATAATTAACATCCACCTTCAACTCCGTCGAGTTCTTCAGCTCCTCCACATGGTACGCCCTCTGCGTGGCCGCCTTGCCGCTGCCGTCGTCGCAAATCACGTACGGCACCGTATCCCCAGCCCTCAGGTGCCCCCCCGACTCCTTATTATACCGCAGCGCCACCTGCACGTGCGGCTGCGTGTTCACGTCATTATACAAACTCGGGTTCTTCGTGAGCTGCTTGGTGATGACCAACAACGAAAGCGGCACCTTCCCGCCCTCCAGGTCCTCCCTCAGCTTGCGCAGGTGCGCCAGAATTCCGGCGACGCGGTCGTCCGACGACTGCTCCCCCAAAATCTCCCCCAGGATGAACTTGCCGGCCTCGGAGGCCAGACGCGACCAGTCGCGCCGCACCACGTCCAAGCCCTTGTACTCCACCTCGGTGCGCAGCTCGCCGTTCTTCCCCCTCGTGAGAATAACCGCCGCGTACTTCTTCTTCTTCAAGAGGAGGAGGTACTTGAAGACGCCGTCCACGTCGAGCTCCACCTGCTTGTACAGCTTGTTGATTTCTTGCTTAATCTTGGAGCCGATGAGGGAGACCTGGTCGAAGTCGACGATGTTGGTGTTGATCATGAGACTGTCGGTGTCGCCGTAGATGACTTCGTAGTTCATGCGTTGGACGATGTCTTTGGTGTTGGTGAGGATCTCGCGACCTTTGTGGGTGATCAAGGCGGCGAGGTTCTTGGCGAAGAAGCGCGAGTTGGAGAAGCCGAGACACCCGTACATGCTATTGGCCGTCAACTTCAAGGCCATTTGTCTTATGTGGTACTGCATGCGCTGGTCGGTGCTTAGGTCGGGGTTGGCCATCAACTTCTTCACCTCGCGCCGGCTTTCCACCAGCTTGCGGATTTCGGTTGGGAGAATCCCCGGAGGAAGACTCTTATCCGGGAGCACCATGTTATCCTCGCTCAATCCCGTGGGCATCGTCGTGAAGCAAATATTGTACTCCTGGATGATGCTAGGGTACAACGAATTGAAATCCATCAACAGGATCAACTTATCGTAGAAACCGACTTTCGGGTCGAGCACCAGCCCCCCCGAATACGTCGGTTTTTTCCTCCCTTTCGCCTCCGCTTTATCCTTCTTCCCGTACGACTTATCCGGGACGATGTACCCCTTCTCGGAGAAGGCGTGCAGCAGCAAAAACTCGTTCCGCTCCGACCGCCCCCCCATCAAGGTCTTACTCATCACGTTCCCCGCGATGTTGGTGATCTGCAGAGCTAGCGGCACTATATTCAAACTGTACATGATTTTTAGAATGTAGGCGGCGTCTTGCATGGTCAAGGCCACCAACTTTAGGATGTCTCCGGTGGTTTGGAACATCTTCGCCACCTCCTCGGGCTCCAGGTCCACTCGTGCGCCGTCCGGCAGCTTGAGCACGGCCTGGCACAGGCTGTCCAGGTCGTAGGAGCGGCTCTTGATTAGTTCTTTTGCCGAGATTTTGATGTCGCAGACGAGGCGGCCCACGAAGAGCTCGCGCTCGAGCTTCTGGCGCAGCAGGAGGGAGCGCTTGACGCGGCCGAGCTTGCCGAAGGTGGCGATCTGGTGGTGGACGAGGCGCTCGCTGAGGACGTTGATTTGGTAGCCCTGGAGATCGTGGCCGATGACGAGGTCGCAGTCGACGAGGGCGAACTGGGCGATGAAGTAGTTGAGGAGGGCCTTCTCGGAGTGCATTTTCTGGAGGGTGGTGGCTTTGTAGTTTTTGGTGGCGGCGTGGAAGTCGAAGGGGAGGATTTGCTGGTCGGGGCAGGTGAAGACTGGAAAAAAAAATTGGTCATCATTGAATCATCAAAAAATCTGTAATTAAAAAAGTCGAAAACTTGAAAAATCATCAAAAAATCGTAAAATCTAAAAATGGAAAAATCGAAAATGTAGAATTTAAAAAATCGAAACAGAAAAGTTGAAAAAGCGAGAAATTGAAGAACTGAAAAATCGAAAAACCAGGAAGTCGAAAAATCGGGAAACGTAAAGACGAAAGATAAAACATTGATTAATCGAGAAATTATAAATTTAGAAACGCCAAAAATTGAAAAATTAAAGAATCAAAAAATAAAAAAAAAACAAGAAATTAAAAAATTCAGAAATCAAAAAATTGAACAATTGAAAAATCAGGAAATCAAAACATCAAAACACCTAAAAATCAAATAAATCTAAAATTAAAAAAATCGAAAAATTAAAAATCCCAAAACTGCAACATCGAAAAATTGAAAAATCAAAAAATCGACTGATTGAATAACTGACAAATCGAGAAATGGAAAATTTAGAAACGCCAAAAATTGAAAGCTTGAAGAATAAAAAAATTACAAAAAATCAAAAAATTGAAAATGGAAACCTAAAACTTCAAAAATCGAAAAATCGAAACAACAAAATATTTAAAAATCGAAAATCGAAAGAGTAAAAAATCAAAAAATCCAAAAATTGAAAAATCGTAATGAAAAATCCCAAAACTGAAACATGGGAAAATTGAAAAATCAAGAAACCAAACGGAAAAATCGAGAAAACGAAAAGTCGCAAAATCAAAAAATCGACTGATCGAGTAACTGAGAAATCGAGAAATCATAAATTTAGAGACACCAAAATTTGAAAAATGAAAAAATCGAAAATGTGAAATACAGTCGAAAAAATAAAAAATTAAAGACTAAAATTCGGGAAATCGAAAAACTAAAGAATGGAAAAATTAAAAAATTTAGAAATCAAAGTATAAAAACAATCGAAAAATCAAAAATCGAAAAAGTAAAAAATAAAAAAAAATCGAAGTCGAAAAATCGAAAAATTTAAAAATCGTAATATTGAAAAATCCCTAAACTGAAATATTGGAAATTTGAAAAATGAAGAATCAGACAGCAAAAAAACGGGATAATGAAAAGTCGTATAATCAAAAAATTCACTGATCGAAAAATTGAGAAATCGAGAAATGGAAAATTTAGCAATGCCAAAAATTGAAAGATTGCAGAATCAAAAAATTTTAAAAAATCGAAAAATCGTAATACATATTGAAAAATCCCAAAACTGAAACATCGAAAAATTAAAAAATCTAGAAATCAAATAAAAAAAATCGATAAAACGAAAATTTAGAAACACCCAAAATTGAAAATTTGAAGAATCAAAATAAAATGTAAAATTGAAAAAAGGACAAATCGAAAATGTGAAATTTCAAAAATCGAAAAACTAAAAAATTAAAGACTAAAATTCGAGAACTGGAAAATCAAAAAATGGAAAAATCTAAAATTTCAAAAATCGAAAAAGTAAAAAATTAAAGACTAAAATTCGAGAATTGGAAAATCAAAAAACGGAAAAATCTAAAATTTCAAAAATCGAAAAAGTAAAAAATCAAAAAATCGAAACAACAAAATATTGAAAAATCAAAAAATCCAAAAATTGAAAAATCCCAAACCTGAAACATGAGAAAATTGAAAAATCAAGAAATCAAACAGAAAAAAATCGAGAAAACGAAAAGTCGCAAAATCAAAAAATCGACTGATCGAGAACCTGAGAAATCGAGAAATCATAAATTTAGAAACACCAAAATTTGAAAAATGAAAAAATCGAAAATGTGATATAAAATCGAAAAAATAAAAAATGAAAGACTAAAATTCGGGAAATCGAGAAACTGAAGAATGGAAAAATTAAAAGATTTAGAAATCAAAATATCAAAAAAATCGAAAAATCGAAAATCGAAAAAGTAAAAAATAAAAAAATTGAAGTCGAAAAATGGAAAAATTTTAAAATCGTAATATTGAAAAATCCCTATTGGAAAATTAAAAAATGAAATCAGACAGCAAAAAAATCCCGGGAAAATGGAAAAGTCGAAAAAACAAAAAATCCATTGATCGAAAAATTGATAAATGGAAAATTTAGCAATGCCAAAAAATGGGAGATTGAAAAATCAAAAATAAAAAAAAAATCGAAAAATCAAAACAAAATATTGAAAAATTAAAAATCAAAAATTTGAAAAATAGAAAAATCCCAAAAGTGAAACATCGAAAAATTATAAAATCAAGAAATCAAATAGCAAAAAAAACCGGGAAAATGGAAAAGTCGAAAAATCAAAAAATCCACTGATCGAAAAATTGATAAATAGAAAATTTAGCAATGCCAAAAAATTGCGAGATTGAAGAATCAAAAAATTTAAAAAAAATCGAAAAATCAAAACAAAATATTGAAAAATTAAAAATCAAAAATTTCAAAAATCGAAAAATTGAAAAATCTCAAAACTGAAACATCGAAAAATTAAAAAATCAAGAAATCAAACAGAAAAAAAATCGATAAAACGAAAATTTAGAAACACCAAAAATTGAAAATTTGAAGAATCACAAAATTAAATAATCGTAAAATTGAAAAATGGACAAATCAAAAATGTGAATTTCAAAAATCGAAAAACTAATTAAAAATTCAAGACTAAAATTCCAGGATTACAAAAACTGAAGAATGGAAAAATTGAAAAATCGAGAAATCAAAACATCAAAAAACGAAAAATCGAAAAACGGAAAAACCGAAAATTAAAAAAAAATCGAAAAATCAAAACACAAAATATTAAAAAAAGCAATAATCTAAAATTTCAAAAATCGAAAAAGTAAAAAATAAAAAAGTCGAAAAATTGAAAAATCGTAATATGTATTGAAAAATCCCAAAACCGAAACATGGGAAAATTGAAAAATCAAGAAATCAAACAAAAAAAGGTGGAGAAAACGAAAATTTAGAAACGCCAAAAATTGAAAGATTGCAGAATCAAAAAATAAAAAGATCGTAAAATTATAAAATGGAAAAATCCAAAATGTAAAATTTCAAAAAACTAAAGGATTGAAAACTAAAATTCGAGAAATTGCAGAACTGATAAATGGAAAAATTGAAAAATCGATAAGATAAATCAAAATATCAAAACATCGTAAAATTGAAAAACGAAAAAGTCTAAAATGTAAAAATCGAGAAATTAAATACAAAAATCTTAAAATTAAAAAATCGAAAAAACAACAATCAAAGAATCGAAAAATTCGGAAATCGAAAATGTAGAAACGCCAAAAATTGAAGAATTAAAGAATCAAAAAATTTAAAAAATCGAGAAATGGAAATATGTATCAAAAAATCGTAAAATTCAAAAGTGGGAATATCGAAAATGCGAAATTTCAAAAATCGAAAAACTACAAAATTAAAGACTAAAATTCGAGAAATCGAAGAACGAAAAAAGCAAAAAATTGAAAAATCGAGAAATTAAAAAATCAAAAAATCTAAAATTTAAATATGTAATCGAAAAAATTAAAAATCAAAAAATCGAAAAATTCAAAAATCGTAATATTGAAAAATCCCAAAACTGAAACATCGAAAAGACGAAAAATCAAAAAATCGACTCATCGAAAAATCGAGGAATTGAAAATTTAGAAACGCCAAAAATTGAGAGACCGAAAAATCGAAAAATTGAAAAACCGTAAAATTGAAATATCAACAAATTAAGAAATGGAAAAATAAAAAATCGAGAAATGGAAAATTCTTAAAATTTAAATACACATTAAAAAAATTTAAATCGGGAAATCGAAACATGAAAAAAATCTAAAATGAAAAATTGAAAAACTTGAAAATTCGAAAAATTAAAAAATAAAAAAAAAAACAAGAAAACGAGAAACCGAATCTAAAATTTAAAAAATGGAAAAACTGGAGAATCGAAACTCTGAAAATCGAAAAATTAAAAAATCGAAAAATCGAAACTTTGAAATCTCGATGAACGGAAAAATTTGAAAATTGCAGAAAAACTAAAAATTCGAAAATTTGAAAACCGAAAAATCAAAAATTTTAAAAATCGAAAACCTAAAAATATTAAATCGAGAAAACGAAAACTGAATGGAAAAATTGAAAAATCGTAAAATCAAAATAACCAAAAATCAAAAAATAGCAAAATTTAAGAAAATCGAAAAATTGTAATATTGAAAAATCCCAAAACTGAAACATCGAAAACTTGAGAAATCGAAAAATTGAAAAATCGAAAAATGAGAGCAGAAAAATCGAGAAAACTTAACGCCAAAAAATAAAAAATTGACTAATCGAGATATTCAGAAATCGAAAAATCCAAAATTTAGAAAAGCGAAAAATCGAAAAACTTGAAAATTTAAAAATTGAAAAATCGTAAAACTCAAGATCAAAAAATTAAAAGATCGAAAAATAAAAATCCAGAAATCGAAAATTCTTGAACTTGAAATTAAAAAGTTTTAAATTCGGTAATCAAAACATCAAAAAATGGAAAATACAAAATTTATAAAATCGAAAAACAAAAAATTAAAGACTAAAATTCAAGAATGGAAAAATTATAAAATCGCGAAATCAAAATATCGAAAAATTAAAAAATTGACAAACGGAAAAATCTAAAACAAAAAAAATTAAAAAATTTAAAAAAAATCGAAAAATTACAATATTGAAATTGAAAAATCCCAAAACTGAAATATCGAAAACTCGAAAAATCAAAAAAACGATTGATCGAAAAAATGAAAATTTAGAAACGCCAAAAACTGAAAAATCGTAAAATTGAAATATCAAAAAATTAAGAAATCGAAAAATAAAAAATCGAGACATCGAAAAGTGAAGAATGGAAAAATTGAAAAATCGAAAACTCAAAATGACAAAAGATCGAAAAATGAAAAATAGAAAAATCTAAAATTTAAGAAAATCGAAAAGTCAAAAAATCGAAGTCGGAAAATCGAAAAATTGTAATACATATTGAAAATTCCCAAAACTTAATATCGAAAAAATGAAAAATCAAGAAATCAGACCGTAGAAAAAATCAAGAAAACAAAGTCAAAAAATAAAAAATCGACTAATCGAAAAATTCAGAAAGCGAAAAATTAGAGACGCCAAAAATCGAAAAACTTGAAAATCGAAAAACTGAAAAATCGTAAAACCGAAATATCAAAAAATTAAGAAATCGAAAAATCGAACCATCAACAAATCGAAAATGTAAAATTTAAAAAATCGAAAAACTAAAAAATTAAAAAACAAGAAAGGGAGAAATCTAAATTTAAAATTGGAAAAACCGGAGAATCTAAAAACTGAAAAATTCCAAAACTGAAATGCCAAAAAATTGAAAAGTCGAAAAAATTAAACATCGAAAAACTAAAAATTCGAAAAATTTAAAACCGAAAAATCAAAAATTTTATATGTATACACATATCTCGAAAAAAATAAAAAACCGAAAAATCTAAAAGCGAGAAGTTGAAAAGTTCAGAAGGCGAAACATCAAAATATGAAAAATCTAAAATTTAAAAATTAGAAAAATTGAAAAATCGAAGAACTGTAAAATCGAAAAATTAAAATTTAGAAAAATTGAAAAATTAAAAAATCGAAAAATCTAAGATTTAAAAAAGCGAAAAAGTGAAAAATAAAACAATCGAAAAGTTGAAAAATCCCAAAACTGAAACATCGAAACCTTGAGAAATCTAAATATCAAAAAGTCGAAAAAAAGTCACAACAAAAAAATCGATTAATCGAGAAATCCGAATTCAGAAACGTCAAAAATGACAAAAATTGAAAAATTTAAAAATTGAAGGGTTACTCAATGGATGGTCAGACAAGTCGAAAAATCGAAAAACTGAAAAATCCCAAAACTGAAACACCGAAAAATTGAAAAATCAAGGAATCAAACAGTAAAAAAATCGAGAAAACGAAAAGCCGAAAAATCAAAAAAATCGACTGACCAAGAAATTGAGAAATCGGAAAATCGAATTTAGAAACCCCAAAAATTGAAAGATTGAAAAGTTCAAAAAACTCGCTATATTAATAAAAATCCCAAAACTAAAACATGAAAAAATTGAGAAATCCAAACAGTGAGAAATTGAAAAACGGAAAGACGAAAAATCAAACACTAAAAAATCTAAAAGCGAGAAGTTGAAAAATCGAGAAATCGAGACATCAAAAAATGAAAATTCGAAAATTTGAAAAATCGAAAAAGTAAAATATAAAACAATCGAAAACTTGAAATCTTGGGAAATCGAAAATTTGAAAAATCGGGAAATCAAAGTCGAAAAAAAGAAAAATAAAAAAACGATTAATCGAGAAGTCCAAAATTTAGAAACGCCAAAAATTGAAAAATTTTAAAATAGAAAAATTGAATGGTCGAAAAATTCACAAATAGTAAACTGAAATATCGACATATTAAGAAATCGAGAAATTGGAAAATCCCCGAACTGAAATACCAAAAAATTGAAAATCGAGAAATGGTTATTCAATTTTGTTGTTTTTCAAAAATCTCGACATCTAGGTTAAAAATTCAACACAGATTCATAAATCACAAGTTCAGGACTGTTAGTTAACATTTCACCATCAACAGACTCTTCCTAATACATATACATATAAAATTTGACAACAATCGGACATTATGTCTAACAAAAATCGACACAGACGGCGGACAGACAGTCAGACGGAAACGGGAGACCCCTTTTTTCGTCCTCTAGTGGTCATGAAACGTCGAGAAAACAAAAATAATAATGATCTCTGTAAACATACTTACCACAGAAGTGTTTCTGGAAAAACTTCTCTGTAGGAGCCTGCTTGTCCACAGAATAAGATACATTAGTAACGCAACTCAGCATCACAATTTCGTTAGAACCGGTCTTGGGGTTAATAGTGCGCCTCATATTTATGGAAGAGACAACCAAAGGCGGCCTTCCAGTCACATCTTTAGCTATAGAAATATCAGCGACTTTAGTACAATTGACCTCCAATTTGCACCAACTGACAGGGTTGAGCACCGCCGCCGGATTAGCAATATCCAGCCAACACGGCCCCTTTATTTTCCGATCCAGAAGAAGAATCTCAAGGTAGGAACTCTCGGCACCGAAAACCCGAGAAAAAGTGCGGCCTTCAGCGGTTTTGGAAACAGGAGGATCCTTCGCCTAAAAATTTCAACAATTACAACAAACACAAAAAAAACAAAAATCGTGACTGTACCGAATAACGGACTTCAATATAGTCCGACTCGGCCGGAATTTCCGGACTAAAAGCGTACTTCTTCTGGATAGGGCGCGCCTTGAAATTTTTAATTTGCATGTTTTTCATCACGGATTGGTTAATTTCGGTGAAGACGTCCTGGGACGAAACGGGCTTATCGGAATTTTTTTCCTAAACAATAATAAATTCATTACAATGTTGCCAACTTAAAATTGTGATAACTCACTGTCACTCTAGGTAGGAAAAAAATTCTTCTTTCAATGTTGCGGACCGCTACGCAGCAACTAATGAATGATTTGGTTTTCTCGTGGTACGTTCTCCCAAATAAAAATACCACTCCTGGTTGCTTCAGGGAGTCTTCAAAGGCGTCCCACCAGAAGAACCGGAACACCTTCTTGCCGTCCACTTCCGTCAGAGGGATGTCCGAGTTTTCCAAGTTAATGGGGGCCTCAGCAACCGCAGGCTCTTCAGTCGCCCAATCGCGCAACATTTCCGCTTCAAGGTTGTTCAGAAGCTCGGTTTTGGCTGCGTTTTTAGCCACGGGGGCTTCCACCTGAGACATGTCTAAGTCGTCGTCGAAACAGTCATTTTCAGTCACGTCTTCACAGACTGATTCACTTAGTGGGTCAGCCATTTGACTGTCTGAAATACTTTCAGAATGATCTGCTAGAGAGTCAGGAATGGTGGTTTGAGATTCAGGGACACTTGGTTCAGGTTCTGGTTCAACAATTTTGGGTTCACTTTGGATTTTTCTAAAAGGGTTAATCGGGACATCTACATTGTGTACTCCATTTTGCGCCTTTTTTTGTACAGTGGGGCTGTCTTTAACCCGCTGAATCACCGGTTTCCTCAAAGATGAAAATTTATTCATGTAATCTTTCTCAGCCTGCTTGACCGACAAAGGTGAAAAATTGTTGGTCACGGATTTGGGTTTCCGCTGCGTGAGACTCGGAGTCGTGGGGGCGTCGTCCATTTCTTGTAGAAGCTCGGCCAGGGTTTCATCCTCCTCCAACTTTCCCTCCTACACACACTTACTGAAGTTAAATAAAACAAAATTTACACCCACCTCTTTCTTTTTTGTCGGCATGTTGGAAATGAGGGAGTGCAAATTCCCCTTTCCTGCATTCTCAGCGACCTTCTTCTTCCGCTTTACCCCCTTTTTGTTACCAGAGGCAGCCGCCGCAGCAATCGACTGTTGGTCGAGATCATCATCAAAAATGTCGCGTCCGTCCTCCACGTAGCCACTGCCGTCTTAAACACACATTAGCAACGACAAAAACACGTGCTAGAACCCACCATCATCGACAATCCAGTCGTCTTCTTGTCTCTGGAGGACCTTCTTAGTGTACTCCCTTTCATCGATCGTCTCGTAAACATTGTCGATTTCTTCGACTTCGTACTTGTTTCGGGTACCGCTTTTGAGTTGTTTGAACCTCTCGAAGGCTTTGGCTTTGTACGAGGAGTCCCGCTTTTGTCTCTTGGGGCGCCGCTCCACTACAACATACTGTAAATACGGGCGTTTTGATAACTAATCGACTTACAATTATCATCTTCCATTTTTCACAACAATTAAACGGTTTTTTGTAGAAACTTAGAGGTATCTTTGGCGGGAAAACTTTCACTTAACCTAATAATACTAAATTACAAAACAGTCTTGAAATCTGGGGACTTTGTTGCGATTGACAGTTGACGTTTCTCAATACGTCGAACGAAAATCCCCAGCGGCATCCTTTTCTTTTGATAGCAGCAAAACACGGTACGTCTATACCAAAATTTACAAAAATCCGGGAAAATCACTCATAAACCGAATCATCTTCAAATAAAAACTCAATTTTGGTGTTTTTTAAATAGCAGTGGGTGTTTTTCTCGCCATATTTTGGAAATTGGATAGGTTATGTCAGGTTTTAACATGTCTATTTTTCAGTCTAGTTCGTGATGGGACGTGTAATCCGAGCACAGCGTAAAGGTGCGGGATCAGTCTTCAAATCCCACACCAACCGGAGAAAGGGGGCCCCCAAGTTGCGTTCGTTGGATTTTTCAGAACGCCATGGCTACATTAAAGGTGTCGTTAAAGACATCGTGCACGACCCCGGTCGTGGCGCCCCTCTAGCCCTCGTCCACTTCAGAGACCCCTACAAGTTCCAAACCCGCAAAGAGCTGTTCATTGCACCGGAAGGCATGTACACCGGACAGTTTGTGTACTGTGGAAAGAAAGCTAACCTCCAAATCGGTATGTTGGTTGTTCACTAAGACACTCATTGCAGACCTGATGATCATAAAGGGTTTAGCTGATTGCTACCGTGATGCGTACTAGAGGCTCTTTCTGACTGTTTTAATTAGAACGGAATCAAATGTTAGTGGGGATTGTTTTAATGGTGAGTTTTCAGGTAACGTGTTGCCAATTGGGGCCATGCCTGAAGGTACCATTGTGTGCAACCTAGAGGAAAAAACTGGAGATCGTGGCCGTTTGGCGCGTGCCTCTGGGAACTACGCCACCGTTATCGCCCACAACCACGACACGAAAAAAACCAGGGTTAAGTTGCCCTCAGGAGCCAAGAAGGTTGTTCCTTCGAACAACAGGGCCATGGTTGGTGAGTAACCCCAGCCCGCTTTTTTTCCAAAATTACTAAACTATGATGATTTCTATCTGTTTCTGACAGCTGTGATTATCACATAGAGGCTCTTTCTGATGACTTTTGCCCGTTTTATTATGTTTTTCGTGATGATTTTTTTTGATACGATTGTTTTGTCGTAGGAATTGTTGCCGGTGGTGGCCGTATCGACAAACCCATCTTGAAGGCAGGCCGCGCCTACCACAAATACAAGGTTAAGCGCAACTGCTGGCCGAAGGTGCGTGGTGTCGCCATGAACCCGGTTGAGCATCCTCACGGTGGTGGTAACCATCAACACATCGGTAAAGCTTCGACTGTCAAGAGAGGAACATCCGCTGGTCGCAAAGTCGGTCTTATCGCCGCTCGCAGGACGGGTCTTATTCGGGGTGGCAAGGTTGAGTCTAAGAAGGACGATTAGATTGTTAGACTCGAGCGCCCGCTTTGTATTTCATGTAAAATTTTCATGTATTTGCGTGTATTGGTGAAATATAAGGATGGTGAAAATTTTTTACTTTATTTGGTGTTTTTTTTTGCTTGTGTTGGTAATAAGTTGAAGTTTCACGCCAATTGTGTCTTTATTGCAAGTAGACGTAGGGGTTTTTTGAGATTTGTAAAAATCAACTAGATATTGATACCATAGATTAATATAGATGCGACATATTGCAAAACCACTCTTATTGACATTGGAGTCCTCGAGCGTCAAATTTAAATAGTCGATGCCAATAAAAAAACAATGGATTGTTTTCGGGAAAATGTTTTGGAAACACTGTGTTCTATTTTGTATGAATTTTTAAACGTTTTTAAATCTAATAATAGAAAAACCGAAACATTGAGAAAATGTACAATTTAAAAACCGAATAACGAAAAATCGAAACCCCCAAATTTAAAAATCGGAAAACTGAATAATCGAAAGACTGGAAAATTGAAAAATCAAAAGATCAAGAAATCGTGGAGTCGAAAAATCGATGGAACAATTCATAAATTGAGAAATTGGCAATCAAAATATCGAAAAATCCAAATCTCGATAAATCGAGAAATCAAAAAACTTAAAAATTTGAAAAATTGAGAGACTGAAAGATCAAAAGAACGAGAAATCGAAATGTGATGAAGTCGAAATATAGAGAAATCGACAAACAAAAGGTTAAAAGTTGAAAAATTGGAAAAGCGGAAAAATCAAAAAACCAAAAAATGGAAAACTGGAAAAACTGAGAAACCGAAAGATTGAAAAATCTAAAATTTAAAAATCCAAAAATTGAAAAATCGAAAAAGTAATAAAGTAGACACATCCAAAAAACCAGAAAACAAAAATAGAAAAGCCGAAGAATTGAAATATTCAAAAATCAAAAAAGTGGAGTCGAAAAATTAAAAAATCAAAAAATTAAAGAATTGAAGAACAGGAAAATCGAAACACTCGAAGGTCAAGAAATCCGAAAATCAAAACATGGATTGATTGAAAAATCGAAAATTTGAGAGTATATAAAAGTCAAATTTGAAAAATTAAAAAATCGAAAATTTGACAAAATGGTAATTTAAAAACAAAAAATCTAAAACCGGAAAGTCGAAAAATCAAAAGATTAAGGAATCGAAACATTTGAAAAATTCGAAAAATTGAAAAATAGAAAAAGTAAAAAAATCGACAAATCGAAAAATCCAGAAAACAAAAATCGAAAATTCGAAGAATCGAAATATGTATTGAAAAATTCCAAAACTGAAAGAAGAAAGAAAAACTAAAAATGGGAAACTAAATCGGGAAATCAAAACATTGAAAAATCGAAAAATTTAAAACGACAACTGAAAATCTAAAACCGGAAAATCGACACATCGAAAACTCCAGAAGCGAAAAATCGAAAAGTCGAAGAATCGAACTATTGAAAAATTCCAAAACTGAAATTAGAAAATCTAAAAAATGAAAGAAAGACTGAAAAAATCGAAAATTGAAATATCCAAAAACTGAGAACCTAAAAAGTCAAAAAATTGAGCAATCGAAAAATCCAAACAGTGAAGTCGAAAAATCGAAACCTTAAAAAAAACTAAAAAATGAATAATCAAAAACCTGAAAAATCCAAAAATTAAAGAATTGAGGAACAGGAATATCGAAACCCTTGAAAGTCAAGAAATGGAAAAATCAAAACATCGATTAATTGAAAAATCGAAAAATTGACAGTTTATAAGTGTCAAATTTGAAAAATTGAAAAATCGAAAATTTGAAAAAACGACAATTGAAAAACAGAAAATCTAAAACCGGGAAGTCGAAAAATCGATTGTTTAAGAAATCAAAACATTTGAAAAATTCGAAAACTTGAAAAACTGAAATATCGAAGAACTGAAATGAAAAATCTAAAATTTTAAATATCGAAAAATTAAAATACCAAAAAATTAAGAAAAATGTCAAAAATGGAAAAGTCGAAGAACTGAAATATTGAAAAATTCCAAAACTGAAAAATGAAAGAAAAACTGACGAATCGAAAAACTGAGAAATCCCAAAACTGAAATATCCAAAAACTGAGAATCTAAAGAATCGAGAAATCGAAACTCCCAAATTTAAAAAATCGGATAACTGAAAAATCGAAAAACCGAGAAATCGAAAAATCAAAAGATCAAGAAATCGTGGAGTCGATAAGTCGAACAATTGAGAAACCGAAATAGGCAAAAATAGAAAAGTTAAAAATTGCACAATTTATAAATTGAGAAATTGACAATCAAAATATCGAAAAATCCAAATCTCGATAAATCGAGAAATCGAAAAACTTAAAAATTCGAAAAATTTAAAAATTGAAAGATTGAAAGATCAAAAGAACGAGAAATCGAAAAGTGATGAAGTCGAAAAATCGAAAAATAGAGAAATCGACCAACAAAAAGTTAAAAGTTGAAAAATTGGAAAAGCGGAAAAATCAAAAAACGAAAAAATGGAAAACTAGAAAAACTGGAAACCGAGATAGTCCAAAATAAAAAATTGAAAAACTGATAAATCGAAAACCTGAACAATAAAATCACGATGAATCGGGATTGAAAAATTAACAAATCGAAAAATTGAAAAACAGAACATCTAAAACCAGGAAGTCGAAAAATCGAAAGATTAAGAAATATTGAAAAATTAAAATATCAAGAGATTAAAAAATCTAAAATTTAAAAAGCCAAAAATTGAAAAATCGAAAAAGTAAAAAGGTAGACACATAAAAAAATCCAGAAGTCAAAAATAGAAAAGCCGAAGAATTGGAATATTGAAAAATCCTAAAACTTAAAAATCGAAAAATCAAAAAATTGAAGTCGAAAAATAGAAACGTTAAAAAATCGAAAAATTGAAAAATCAAAAACCTGAAAACTCAAAAATTAAAGAATTGAAGAACAAGAAAATCAAAACACTCGAAGGTCATGAAATGAAAAAATCAAAACATCGAGTAATTGAAAAATCAAAAAATTCAGAATTTATAAAAGTCAAATTTGAAAAATTAAAAAAGCGAAAATTTGACAAAATGACAATTGAAAAACATAAAATCCAAAACCGGGAAGTCAAAAAATCAAAAAATTAAGAAATCGAAACCTTTAAAAAATTCGAGAATTGGAAAAATTCAAATATGGAAGAACTGAACTGAAAAATTGAAAAATCTAAAATTTTAAAAATTAAGAAATCTAAAATTAAGAAATCTAAAATTAAAAAATCGAAAGAGTAAAATAATCGACACATCGAAAAATCCAGGAGTCAAAAATCGAAAAGTCGAAGAATCGCAATATTGAAAAACCCCAAAACTGAAATATCGAAAAACTGAAAAATGAAAGAGAAACTGAAAAATGGAAAACCTGAAAAAACCGAAAACTGAAATATCTGAAATATCCAACTGAGAACCTAAAAAGTGGAAACACTGAGCAACCGAAAAATCCAAAAAATGAAGTAGAAAAACCGAAACCTTAAAAAAACTAAAAAATGAAAAATCGAAAAATTAAAGAATTGAAGAACAGGAATATCGAAACCCTCGAAAGTCAAGAAATGGGAAAATGAAAACATCGATTAATTGTAAAATCGAAAAATTGACAGTTTATAAATGACAAATTTGAAAAACTGAAAAACATGAAAAACGGAAATATCGAAGAACTGAAATGAAAGATCGAGAAATCGAAAAATCTAAAATTTTAAGTATCGAAAAATTGGGAATCTAAAATTTAAAAATCGAAAAAGTAAAAAGTCGACATATCGAAAAATCCAGAAGTCAAAAATGGAAAAGTCGAAGAACAGAAATATTGAAAAATCCCAAAACTGAAATATCTGAAAACTGAAAAATCGAAAAATCAAAAAAGTGAAGTCGAAAAATAGAAACCTTAAAAAATCGGATAACTGAAAAATCGAAACATCGAGAAATAGAAAAAAATTGAGAAATTGAACAATCAAAACATCCAAACATCTGAATTCGATTAATCGAGAAATAAAAAAAATTTAAAAATTTTAAAAAAGAAAAATTAAAACATCGAAAAGTTGAAAAATCTAAAGTTTAACGAAAAATTGAAAATCCAAAAAAGTAACAAAGGGGTGGAAACCCAAAAACTGGAAACTGAAAAATTTTAAAATTGGAAAATCGACGAATTGGAATCGATTGGCCTGAAAATTTGAAAAATTGAATAAACGAAAAATTGGAAAATCGAAAGAAACAACAAAAATTAATAAAATGAAAAAACAAAAAATTGTGATATAAAATCGAGAAAATGAAAAATCAAAAATCAGGAAAATGCAAAATAAAAATCGGGGAGTTGAAAAATTGAGTGGACGAAAAATTGAAAAAGGGAAAAATTAAAAATCGAGAATGTGAAAAATGGAAAAATGAGAAATTGTAATATTGAAAAATTGGAAAATTTGGAAGTCAACAAACTGTAAAATTGTAAAATCAAAAATAAAAAAACGAAAAAGTATAAGTATAATAAAAACTTGAAAAATGTAAAAAGTGAAAATCAAACTTGAAAATTTGAAGAAAAATCGAAAGAAACAACAAAAAATAAAGAAAATGAAAAAACGAAAAATTGTGATATAAAATCGAAAAAGTGAAAATTAATAAATCGGGAAAATGAAAAATAAAAATCGGAAACAAAAAATTGGAAAAGGGAAAAATTAAAAATTGAGAAACTGAAAAATCGAAAAATGAAAAACCGTAATATTGAAAAATTGCCAAATTGAAAAACTGATGCAAACCGAAAAATTGAAAATTTTGGCAGTCGAGAAATTGTAAAATTGAAAAATCAAAAATAAAAAACGAAAAATTACAAAATGAAAACTTGAAAAATTTTAAGAATCGAAAAAGTGAAAAAAAAAAAAGAAATATGTCTTATGAAATAGAAATATTGAAAATTAAAGTAACTGGGAAATCGGAAGACTGGAAATCCAAAAACTGCAAAGTGAAAAATTTAAAAATTGAAAAATTGACGAACTGAAAATTCAAAGCCTGAAAATTTCAAAAATTGAACAAATGAAAAATTGTAAAATCGAAAAAAAAACACAGAAAATAAAGGAAATGAAAAAACGGACAATTGTGATATAAATCGGGAAAATAAAAATTAAAAATTCGCCACATTGAAAAATAAAAATCGGGAACATGAAAAATTGAGGAAACGAAAAATTGAAAAATATAGAAGTCAAGAAACTGTAAAATTGAAAAATCAAAAATAAAAAAACGAAAAAGTATATAATGAAAACTTGAAAAATCTCAAAAGTGAAAATCAAACATGAAAATCTAAAGAAACAAAAATTTGAAAAATCGAAAGATTAAAAATAAAATTCGAAAAAGTGAAAAATATAAAAAAAGAAATATGTATTGTAAAATCAAAATATTGAAAATTAAAGAAACTGAAAAATTGGAAGACTGGAAATCCAAAAACTGCAAATTGAAAAATTTTAAACGTGGAAAATCATAGAATTGAAAAATCAAAGCCTGAAAAAATTGAATAAATAAAAAATTGTAAATCGAAAGAAACAACAAAAAAATAAAGGAAATAAAGAAACCAAAAATTGTGATATAAAATCGAGAAACTTCGAGAAAACATAAAATTGGTCATTCGCCAGATGGATCTCTTTACTGCGTTATCAGCAAAAAAATCTGTAAATCGAATCTTACAATTATCAGACAACACTGAATATGTTATATCGGACTTCAAGAGCGAGGAAAGTGCTGTCTAAATAACGTTAGACCAATTTTTATAATTCAACAATTTACATAGAGTATCAAAAATGAAACACCGATAGCTTTCGAATAATTTTGAATGTGTTGTGCTAATTTTTTTTAATTCCACCAATATTTTCTATTTTGACAAAATGACGCAAGAATCGAAACTTGGAGAGTTATACAAAACGAGTAAAATTTGAAGCAATGTAAATGTCGTCATTTTTGCATGTTTTTACTTTTTTTTTTACACAGAAAACAGAACTGAAAAACAAATTTTAATATAAGAGGGACAAAATATGTCTAGTAAGGATTGTTAACAAAAAACTATCGTCCTAGGTCAATTTCTCTCGTTTTTATAGGACATTTCAAATGAAAACTGTCCCAAACCAGGCCGAGTGAAATTTTAGTGTTTGTTCCTTACATATGAAATAAACACTTACAAAAAGCCGAATAACTGTTTTAAATAGCGTAAAGTTTTACGCTTTCTAAGAAATGGATACTGTTAACTTGGTCATTGCTACTGAAAACTGAAAGTATCGGCAACAATGTTTATATTTCAAGTTCAGGGAATTTTGATTCTTCTGCATCGAATACCAACAAACTCACTAGGTTTTCATGGCCAACCCTAGTATATAAAAATCGTGAACGGATAATATGAAAATCAATTTCAGACAGCGACCTCTTACGGACGACATACGCACTAACGCAGCTGATGCTATAGAAACCATTATGACTCCTATTGTTCACATTTTGTCTTCTGTGAACTTTATTTCGGTCCGATTTCGTGAACTGTTGCGACGTTTCGTATTAAAAACAACTCCGATGATTTTTGCGACGTATTCGTCATCTTGTTATTTTCCTTTCGGTGACAAATCTGTCCGCTCTTCACGCGATTTTCGTCTTTATGGTGGTACGATGAAGGTCGTTTATCGCGCGCCGGCTTGGCTGCGCGATTCAAACTTTCGCGCGCTGTCACTCCGCGCCAAGTCTCCGTGATCATCTAGCCGCCTCCGGCGGCCGTCAGGCCATTTGGCATTCCCCAATGTCAAAAAGCCTTTTTTTTCGTGGCGTGAAACCCATCACAAACCCGTCGAAATTCCTCTCCCCGTGCACTTTTCCTTTGTTTGTGAAGACGACCACCGCCAGCTCGCATCCGCCATCAGCAGCGTCCGGACTTGCGCATCAGTGTCGTGCGGAATCGCGAACAAACGCCTCTTGTGAATCTGCCAAAGACGCTTTTCATAAGTTTTAGATTAGAGGTTTTTCGAGATAAAAACTTCTACCACTCGTCTTGATTAGTAGTAATATGAGTAATGCACCCAACCAAAATGGATCAGGTCTAGAGCAGCAGGTAAGCGCCCTACGAGGTTATCCCCAGCGTTTACCACGTTTCTATGACCCGGAAGCCTTTGACAATGGAGGTCGTGTGGACTTCCACTATTGATCGCGACGGCGATGGACCACAAGGACCGAGTCCGGCCCTGGTGGGCCGCTTCGCCCTTGGCGAATTCGCCCGTTTCGCGATTCCTGGAAAGTCTTTGTCTGACGACTCGTTCTTTTCCAGTTTGCTGGTCTGGACTTGCAGAGTCGCGCATCAAGCGGCCGTTACGTGCCCCCGCACTTGCGTAACAAACAGAATTTATCCGAAAGTAGCTACGATAGGGATAGAGACCGTGGCGAATCGAGAGGAGGCAGTGGAAGGAGCTACAATCGAGGTGGAAGAGATAACCGAGGAGGCGACTTTTCCAGCTTCAACACTAGGCTAGTATCGGGGGGTTGTGGTAAGAGGGCGACCTGTGCGGGAATGGGGACCCGTGACCCATTCCAACACAGACATTATTAACTGATTTATCGGTCAGAGAGTGTATCTAGGCGTCATTGATCATGGCCAGCTACACCAGGTGGATTACATCCTGATACATTAAATACAAAACACGTGCTCAGATAAATTTTGTATGTAAGTGATTGCACAGATAACAAATTTTTCTTTGTACAAATCAATTTGACCCATTTGAAACCCCCGAAATCGAAATAACCTGTTGAAAGAATCAGTGGATTTTTAAATTTAAAGAAAGTTAGTTACGTCAGAAATATTTCTGCGCCTGAGTTACCGTTTTAATAATTGTAACGAATTCGCTCCTAAATATTATTAGTCAGTGGAAAAATCCCACGTGTCACACATCCTTTGAAGAATACTCGTCCGATTCTCGTTATTTCGGTGATTTCCCACTTATTCATGAAAGTAGAAAGTAGGATTTGCGTTCAAATTCTCAACTATAATATATAATTATACCCGAGTTGCTCAAGAGCTGGTTTTGCATAATTAATAATGTAAATCTATCAACTTTTATAAAAATATGGTGCGTGAATGTACAGAGTGTCTATAAATATGTGTCACAGCCGACTGAATTAAATTCGTCCGAGTGACGTGTGACGTCAGTGACACTCTAATTATATTCATGTTTCGACGAGGCGGCACAGTCGATACTACGATTACACGATATTTTGTTCGCTTCGAGTTGTTTCTGGGTAATTTTGTTATTTCGGTTTGTATTTGGCCAAACAAATCGCAGATATGTTTGTAATTTAATTTTATCTCCTATTGTTTGCACCCTAAATTGTGTATTGGTGAAAGAGCGAAGTTCAGTTATTTGGTTAATAAAGTGTGCATTTTCTGAAAAATAACTTGGAGCACCAGAATGGAAATTTCTTATCGCTGGTAATCTCGATCGATTTCGAGATTACAATTTCGTGGTAAGAAAATGGATGAGTTATTTTTGTGTTCCGTGGAAATTGATGCTAAAATCCAAAATGTAAAAAAATGTCCCAGAACAAAAATCAAATGAACACAATTTCGTGTTTTAACAAGTCCTTAAAAGGTTATTTATGTTAACATGTTGTATTTCAGTATCAACTAACACAATTTAATTAATTTTGTCACTTTTTTATTCCGTGCGTAAGCTAACGAAGTAGTATAATCGTGTCCATCGGGCGACTGGCTACTTTTAAGTTTTCTCGACGTTTCATGACCCCTACAGTACGAAAATAGGTCTCTCCTTTCCGTCTGTCTGCTGTCTGTCCGCGTCTATGTCTATTTTCACAATTGTGGTTTTGTAGACGGTAAATACATTTTTTTTATTTAATTTTTTTTTTCCTTAAATTCGAATAAACCGATAAAAACGGCCAACTAAAAAGTACCACAGAAAAACATCATTAAAAAATATGGCAAAAAAGTTATTAAAAAAAAAGATTAAAAAAGAGGGGGAAACGGACAAAATAAAATTATCCAAATAAATTTTAACATGGCGTTACCAACTTTTTTTAAAAAACATTTTGATTAGCGGTTTACCATGCTTATGGTAACCTTAAAACATATGCAAAACTTAAATAGTAAAATGTCATACAATTTCGATTTTTTTCGAAAAAAGAGGATGGGTGGGTGGTTGGGGCAAACTTTTTTTTAATTTTCATGAGATTCTACTATGATAGCTGTTTCACTTCTTATTTTTGAGCTAAAAAAATCACATTAAAAATGAGGGTAGGCTAAAAAATACAAAAAAAAATCCCATTTAAAAGATGCCTAAAAGTTACAAAACGAAAAAAACGGACAAAAAACTGGTAAAAAGTGACCCAAGTAATATTATCCAGAAAAATTTTAACATGGCGTTATCAACTTTTTGGAGAAAACATTTTGATTAGCGATTTACCATGCTTATGATAACCTTAAAACGTCTGCTAAACTTAAATAGTAAAATGTTGTGTTACAATTTCGTTTTATTTATTTATTTATTTCAAAAAATTTGTTAAAGGTAAAAAATCAAGACGGATTCATAAATCACAAATGTAAGAGTAAATGTTTTTTTAAATTTTAATAGCATTGCTATGTAAAATTGTGAAGTGACGTCATTATTTTATTGGTGGGAGTTGATCAGGCACATTTTAGTTCGACACAGACGACAGATGATAGACAGACATACAGACAAGAGAAAACGGGAGACCTATTGTTTTATACTCTAGGAGCATGAAACTTCCAGACAACATGAAAGTAGCCATTTGCGGAATTGATTCTATTACAGTGCTTCCTTAAGTAAAGTAGGGCAAATAAAAATCGCCACAAGACAGGATGGGTGGGTGGGCGGGGCAAATTTTTTATTTTTATGATATTCTACATGATAGCTTCTTATTTTTGAGCTAAAAAATCATATTAAAAATGAGGGTAAGCTAAAAAACACAACAAAAAATCCCATTTAAAAGATGCCTAAAAGTTACAAAACGAAAAAAAAAACGGACAAAAAACTGGACAAAAGTGACTAAATTATAACCTTAAAACGTCTGCAAAACTTAAATAGTAAAATGTCATACAATTATACAATTTCGTTTTTTTTTTTTTTTTTAATTTGGATGTCGATGGTAAAAATCAAGACGGATTCATAAATCACAAATGTAAGAGTATGTTTTTTTAAATTTTAATAACATTTACTATGTAAAATTGTGAAGTGACGTTACTACATTACTGGTGGTAGTTGATCAGGCAAATTTGGGTTCGACATAGACGGTAGACAGACATACAGACGGGCGAAAACGGGAGACCTATTGTTTTATACTGTAGGAGCATGAAACTTCCAGACAACATGAAAGTAGCCATTTGCGGAATTGATTCTATTACAGTGCTTTCTTAAGTAAAGTAGGGCAAATAAAAATCGCCACAAGACAGGATGGGTGGGTGGGCGGGGCAAATTTTTTATTTTTATGATATTCTACATGATGGCTTCTTATTTTTGAGCTAAAAAATAATATTAAAAATGAGGGTAGGCTAAAAAATGCAACAAAAAATCCCATTTAAAAGATGACTAAAAGTTACAAAACGAAAAAAAAAAACGGACAAAAAAACTGGTCAAAAGTGACTAAATTATAACCTTAAAACGTCTGCAAAACTTAAATAGTAAAATGTCATACAATTATACAATTTCGTTTTTTTTTTTTTTTCAAAAAATTTGGATGTCGATGGTAAAAAATCAAGACGGATTCATAAATCACAAATGTAAGAGTATGTTTTTTTAAATTTTATTAACATTTACCGTGTAAAATTGTGAAGTGACTTCATTACATTATTGGTGGGAGTTGATCAGGCAAATTTTGGTTCGACATAGACGGTAGACAGACATACAGACGGACGAAAACGGGAGACCTATTGTTTTATACTCTAGGAGCATGAAACTTCCAGACAACATGAAAGTAGCCATTTGCGGAATTTATTCTATTACAGTGCTTCCTTAAGTAAAGTAGGGCAAATAAAAATCGCCACAAGACAGGATGGGTGGGTGGGCGGGGCAAATTTTTTATTTTTATGATATTCTACATGATAGCTTCTTATTTTTGAGCTAAAAAATCATATTAAAAATGAGGGTAAGCTAAAAAATACAACAAAAAATCCCATTTAAAAGATGCCTAAAAGTTACAGAACGAAAAAAAAAAACGGACAAAAAACTGGACAAAAGTGACTAAATTATAACTTTAAAACGTCTGCAAAACTTAAATAGTAAAATGTCGTCTTACAATTTCGATTTTTTTTTTTTTCAAAAATTTGGTTGTCGAAGGTAAAAAATCCAGACGGATTCATAAATCACAAATGTAAGAGTATGTTTTTTTTTTTTAATTTTAAAAACATTTACTGTGTAAAATTGTGAAGTGACATCATTACGTTATTGGTGGGAGTTGATCAGGCAAATTTTAATTCGACACAGACGGCAGATGATTTCAAACATACAGACGGACGAAAACGGGAGACCTATTGTTTTATACTCTTGGGGCATAAACTTCCAGACAACATGAAAGTAGCCATTTGCGGAATTGATTGTATTACAGTGCTTCCTTAAGTAAAGTAGGGCAAATAAAAATCGCCACAAGAGAGGATGGGTGGGTGGGCGGGGCAATTTTTTTTTTTTTAATTTTAATGTGATTCTACTATGGTGGCAATTAATCCACTTCTTATTTTTGAACTAAAAAAAATCACGTTAAAAATGAGGGTAGGCTAAAAAATACAACAAAAAATCCCATTTAAAACATGCCTAAAAGTTCCAAAACGGACAAAAATTGGTAAAAAGTGACTAAAATAATATTATCCAGCAAAATTTTAACATGGCGTTGGCAACTTTTTGGAGAAAACATTTTGATTAGCGATTTACCATGCTTATGATAACCTTAAAACGTCTGCAAAACTTAAATAATAAAATGTTGTCTTACAATTTCGTTTTTTTTATTTATTTTTTTCAAAAAATGAAACTTCCTGACAACATGAAAGCAGCCATTTGCGGAATTGACTCTATTACAGTGCTTCCTTAAGTAAAGTAGGGCAAATAAAAATCTCCACAAGACAGGATGGGTGGGTGGGTGGGCGGGGCAAATTTTTTTTAATTTTTATGAGATTCTACTATGATAACTATTAATCCACTTCTTATTTTTTATTTTTGAGCTAAAAAAATCACATTAAAAATGAGGATAGGTTAAAAAATATAACAAAAAAATCCCATTTAAAAGATGCCTAAAAGTTACAAAACGAAAAAAAAACGGACAAAAACTGGAAAAAGCGACTAAAATAATATTATCCAGCAAAATTTTAACTTTTTTTAGAAAACATTTTGATTAGCGTTTTACCATGCTTATGATAACCTTAAAACGTCTGCAAAACTTAAATAGTAAAATGTTGTCATACAATTTCGTTTTAATATTTTTTTTTTTTTCAAAAAATTTGGTTGTTGAAGGTAAAAAATCAAGACAGATTCATAAATCACAAATGTAAGAGTGTTTTTTTTTTTAATTTTAATAACATTTACTATGTAAAATTGTGAAGTGACGTCATTACATTATTGGTGGGAGTTGATCAGGCACATTTTAGTTTGACACAAACGGTAGACGCAAGACAGACAGACAGACGGACGAAAACGGGAGATCTATTGTTTTATACTCTAGGAGCATGAAACTTCCAGACAACATGAAAGTAGCCATTTGCGGAATTGATTCTATTACAGTGCTTCCTTAAGTAAAGTAAGGCAAATAAAAATCGCCACAAGAGAGGATGGGTGGGTGGGCGGGGCAAATTTTTTTTTATTTTACTGGGATTCTACTATGATGGCAATTAATCCAGATTTCTAGATTTATTAGTTAAAAAAATAAATGTATAGAATGCGAGCGCAGCGAGCACGTTCAGGTTGCTGAGTAATATTGACAAACGCTTTCAAGAATGACTAAGACACACTAAAGAATTGTCTCTTTAATAATAAGTTAGCTTCCCAAAGACAACACCTAAATGTGCTCGCTGCACTCGCATTCCTAATGTTCTTAAAGGTAGGCTTATATTTTGTTCATGTTTTCTTAATATACAAAATCTTCTTTTCCCAACAAGAAATTGACAATATGTTTAACGATCCTGTTGTTGAAAGAAGACTCTATGGTCTATATATTAAAAAAAAAAAAAGGAAACAAAAATTAAGCCAAGGCCACCCACCCTGATCTCAATTGTGATGAGTTTTTCATTCCTAATCAGACCAATGGGCGGAGTTTATTTCTAACATTAATATTTTTCTAAAAAATTCAGCCTTTTTAAAAACACATTTCATATGGTAATTTCTTGTAGTGATTTTGCAGCCAAACTCCGCCCTTTAGCTCACCATGAATAAAATATTCATCACAATGAGAAGGGGTGGGTGGGCGGGGCTTGTATTTTGTTCATTTTTTCTTCATAAACGAAGTCTTCTTTTCCCAACACGAAACTGACAATATGTTTAACTATCCTGTTGTTGAAAGAAAACTCTATATATTAAAAAAAAAACAAACAAAAATTAAGCTCCACCCACCCGCCCTGATCTCAATTGTGATGAGTTTTCATTTTTAATCAAACCGAAGGCGGAGTTTAATTATAACATCAATATTTTTCTAAAAAATTCTGCGTTTTTAAAAACAGATTTCATATGATAATTTCTTGTAGTAAAATGAGCATTTTGCAGCCAAACTCCGCCCTTTAGCTCACGATGAATAAAATATTCATCACAATTGAAAAGGGGTGGGTGGGCGGGGCTTAGATTTTGTCCATTTTTACTTCCCGAGCGTAAGCAAAGGAAGTATTGTAATCGAGTCCGTCGGCCGACTCTCTACTTTTACGTTTTCTCGATCTTTCATGACCCCTAGAAGACGAAGAAATAGGTCTCCCATTTCCGTCTGTCTGTCCGTCCGTCTGTCCGTCTGTCCGTCTGTTGTCCCGGATTTTATTAGACAGATAATCTCCGAAAGTACTCGACCGATTGTTGTGAAATTTTGTACTTATATTAAGAATATCATGTAGATGGTAAAACGCTAACCAAAATTTGTCTAATCATCCCCACCACTAATGCGATGACGTCACTTCAAAATTGTACATAGTAAATGGGTTTTCAATTGTATAAAATAACATAGTCCTACACATGTAGTTTGCAACTCTGAATCGACTTTTCACCCGAAACGTCCAGATTTTTGGAAAAAAAATCAAAATTATAAAACAACATTTTGAAATTTAATTTTTAATCTGCTAACCAGAATGCTTTGAAATGTTGCAGATGTTTTAAGGCTATAAAGAGCATCATAAATCTTTAGTCAAAAAATATTTGCGTATCCCCTCCAAAAACTTGATTACGTCAGCTCAAAAGTTTGTGGAATAAATCATATCTAAAATGTACAAAATATGATGAGTCTGTACTTGTGAAATATCACTCCATTCATATTTTTTGGATCTGAATGTACAGGGTGACTCAAAAAAATTAATGAATGCGTAAATTTATTTTATTGATTTACTCAGGAACTACAAAACCGAATTCTTTGAAATCCACTGCGAAAAAAAAACATAATAGGCATACAGTCGTCACGTTTCCGACAGCGAGGGAAGTACTGTCTAAACTCTTTAGACCAATTTTTTTCTTAATATATCAAGTTTTTTTTCCCAACAAGAAACTGACAATATGTTTAACTATCCCATTGTTGAAAGAAAATCCTATATATTAAAAAAAAAAAAGGAAAATTTAAGCCCCACCCACCCGCCCCAGTCTCAATTGTGATGAATTTAACATTGGTTGTTAGACCGAGGGGCGGAGTAATTGCAAAATACATTTTTGTCTATTGATTTGAACTAGTTTGCCTTCTCAATTATTAATTAAACCACTATCGAACAAAATATTATGAACATTATTTATAATTGTTATTGTAGCATTATTATACCGGGTGTCTGGAAAATGGCTCTTAAGAATCAACTGGTGAGTCTGGGAAAATAATGATTTTAAATTTAGTTAAGGTAAATTACTCTGAAAAAAGCAACTTCTACAATGCGAGCGTAGCGAGCACGTTCAGGATGTTTCAGTCCCTTACAGTAATGACAAACAATTTTTAAACTTAGATTTTTAAATAACAATTTTTTTCTTGTTAATTTAGCTTCTCAGGGATACCAATGAATAATTTTTTAAAGTGCACCTGAACCTGCTCGCTGCGCTCGCATTCTAAACGTTCTTTTTTTACAGTTTAGAGTCGGATAAGTAACTAAAGAATCTCGGCGAACTGTGTCGGTTCTAGATTTATTACTTCAAAAATAAATGTATAGAATGCGAGCGCAGCGAGCACGTTCAGGTTGCTGACTTTAATATTCACAAACATTTTCAAGAATGACTTTTTAGGCACTAAAAAATTTTCTCGTTAATAATAATTTAGCTTCTCAGGGACACCGACAAATAACTTTGACAACACGTAAATGTGCTCGCTGCACTCGCATTCCAGATGTTTTTTTTTTTTATTATTATTATTATTATTAATTTAGTACCTTGGAAAAATTTACGAATGAATGATCAGCAAGGACACCTAGTTTTAATTATAATAATTATTATTGGCATCTCCCTGTGAAGGTAAATTACCCAGAAAAAAGCAACCTCTAAAATGGGAGCGTAGCGAGCACGTTCAGGACATTTCAGTCCCTTATAGTGATGACAAACAATTTTTAAACTCACATTTTTAAATAACAACTTTTTATTGATAATTTAGCTTCTCAGGGATACCAATGAATAATTTTTTTAAATTGCACCTGAACGTGCTCGCTGCGCTCGCATTTTAACCTTTTTTTTCAGCTTTATTCTCTTACAAGTGTGCAGGAAAGAGTCTCAGCGAAGTTGTTGGGTTCTATTATAAGAATAAATTTCGAGACTTAAAAAAACAACTTAGCTTCTCGAGAACACTGAATAACACCTAAATGTGCTCCCTGCGCTCGCATTTTAAATATTTTTTTAAATAATACGGTCATGTAAGAACGTTTATGAATGAATGATCAGTGACGTTACTTAGGTTTGTTTTGTTATATTATACGTAAATTTTTTTTACGTAAATTAAAAAAAAATAATGAATTAGTTAACTTTATTGGTTAATTTTTGATAAAAATGATCACCAAAGAAATCTGACCTGACTCATACAAATCAAAGCTCTCTGACTGAATATCCACGACAATTTTTGGACTCAATTTGCTGACTTGTTGTTCTCCAATTGCAGCAGGAATCGTCGTGACAACTTCCAAAACGGCGAGACGTTCGAGCGAGATGATTGGGGTAGAGGCGGTAGCCGCTATCAGGAACGGGAGCGTGACTTGCCCCGTAATGATCGTTGGCAGGAGCCCGAGAAGCCGCAGCGAGAGGGAGGCGGCGGCCGCTGGAACGAAACCCGCAACGAGAGCGGAGGTGGCGGCGGCGGCGGCGGTGGCGGCGGCGGCGGTGGACGCTGGAACGACAACCGCGATCGTCGCAACGAGAACGACTGGACTGTACCGATGCCGAGGGACGAGAGGGTCGAGCAGGACCTCTTCGGCACTGGCAACACGGGCATCAACTTCAGCAAGTACGAAGATATACCTGTTGAAGCAACCGGGGATAAAGTCCCGCGTCACATTACATCTGTGAGTTTTTCGGTGACGTTTTCGAGGTGTCTTGACTCGTTTTGTTCCAGTTTGAGGAAGTACAGTTGACTGAGATCATCCGGAACAACATAAGCTTAGCTCGTTATGATACTCCGACTCCAGTACAAAAATACGCAATTCCGATAATTGTAGGCAAGCGAGATGTAATGGCTTGCGCCCAGACAGGGTCTGGTAAGACTGCAGCGTTCTTAGTGCCCATTTTGAATCAAATGTACGAAAATGGACCTCCGATCATTACCCATGGACGCAGCCGACGTAAGCAGTATCCACTCGGGCTCGTCCTGGCACCCACCAGAGAACTTGCCACGCAAATTTACGACGAAAGCAAGAAGTTTGCTTATAGGTCGCGGGTGCGCCCGTGCGTTGTGTAAGTATCGCGTGAGAAATGTTGGATTTTTTTCACATGTGCGGTAATGGATCATTTCCAAACTGGGGTCGCTTGTGAGAATTAAGTCTCGACGGGTTTGGTTTTATTCTACACGCTGCACTATTAAATATTTTCTGTAGTTTATACAGGGTGTATTTTAAAAGATACGATGTATTGCCCAATGAAGCAATTTTTTTTCTTGGGCTTCATAGTTCATTTTTGAAATTCCCATGCAACGTTGCCATGTTATTCCAATATCTCTGCATGAAATATTAAAAGTAAATCTATGGTGATTTTTTTTGTTTTTACAAAATTGGTAACTTTGAATTTGAATATCAAAAATAAACTGTGGTTATAAAGTCGCAGAGGCCAATCAGATTATCAAAAAATATATAGGGTATTCTTCTATTAGAAAAAACAAAATTGCATGTTACGCCCTAAAAATAGAACACTGTATAGTTGGAATTAATTCTTCTGTACGCAACTCCAAGAAGCATACAACTATATTTTACCTTTTTTCTCTGTTTAATAAAATTAATGAGATTATCGTGAACAGCAAACTTAAGGGGACTTGCTAGACGAGATATAACATTTTTTTGGTTTTTTGTATGAAAAAATGATATTAATATAGATGTGTCATACATCAAACTGCAGCTTTTTTCATATTCTAGGGCGCAGAGACCAGTTCAATCAACTAAAAAAATATGGCTGAGAAATATCGTAAAAAAGCACCATTTTCTGTTTTCTTTTCAAGGTTTTTGAGTCATAACCATCATAAAATCGCTTGAAAATTCGCACATGGATAAAACATCACTTTTTACAGGGCGCAGAAGCATTAAATGTTTGTTAGTAGTACAATTTGTTTAAATAATAATGTGTTTATTAAAATCAAAATATACCACAAATTAATGCAAAATACGTCGAATAATTTTAACAGGAATATCAGAGGAAAATTAATGATCTATTGGTTAGCAGAGTTTTTAACCAAAACTAACAGTTATTGAAAAAAATGGGTATCAATTCGACAGAATTTGAGCAGTTAGTTCAGTACTTTGCCGATAGGAGCGCCACTAAAATTTACGGAAGCGACTTTCAGGTAAAACCCTTATGGCCTGCTTTACCATAAGCTGATTGTTAGAATTCTCGGCTGATTTTTCTAATTTATGGCAAGGAACTCAGCTTTATAACAAGCCGCCAGGACCGGCCGTAGTAATCTATTGTTAAGAAAATTAACTTTTACGCAATGAGGTACTATCATAAAACCGAATTAAAACTGGGGAACTATAATATTTTTACTCCACTCAGGATCCTGAATTCAATACACATGATTACTAAAAATTCATTGTAATATTATTGTTAATATATATTTTGCTTTCTTAATTAATAAAACTAATAAACATATTTATAATAATAATAAAAAATATATAAAATACAGCTTTTGTTTAACACGTATAAGTAGCTAAGTGTATCTACTACTTATACTCGAAAACAGTACTCGTATATGTTTTCATTTGCCGAGAGATCATTTTCAAAATATATTTATAATAAAAATATGCAAGTCTTGGTGATGAAAAATGTACTCCTAATAAATTATGAAAGTACATAAAAAATAGAAACAAATTTTATTTATTTTAAAACAATCTCTCACAAAGGCAGGTTCCTCTTTCTTCTTGAATCAATTATTTCGGGCAATAATACATTTTACATATATTTCTTCGTCTTTATAAATTTTTTCTATATTTATTCCATTGGGTGTCCACACAACAAAATAAACTTGTGAAATACCCGTAACAAGCATTTGTCCCTGGACTTGAAAGTAGTAATCATGATTCTTATTTTAGTTTCAATTCTCTGTCTGTCAATGTACAAAATTTGATTATTTTTTTTCTAACCGCTTCTTCGGGAGACAAATCTTGCGATTTTGAAGGGCATTTAATTTCGACTAATGCACTCCTATCCTCTAGAACCCTGTCTGGACTAGCAGCCAAGTAAGGAAATTGTTTTGAAATAAACAAGCCACACCGTTCAGTTTTTATATTTTTATTTATTTCAAAACACTTGACAGCTTTTTCCTCACTTTGCTGTCCATAGTATGTATGACTATTACCTCTAAATCTACTGTACAACAGAGACTCCACAGTTTTAGCTATTGCTGTAGTCGGTCTAAATTTGTAAATACGTCCAAAATTTGAAGCCGTAACCCTAATTTCTCTTTCTTTTGCCCAAATGTGCCTGTTGCCTAGTGTCTATTTCAATTTGGTCTAAATTCAAAGATAATTTTCTCAGAAAAACCTCTTTGGCTGTCACAAATGTTTCTACATCCATGACAGGATTTTAAAAAATATTTAAACCATAATCGCAGTCGGGACCAGCATACCTACGTACATTTTTTTACGACATATTTTTTTACGAATACTTTGTCTAAGACGAGCTTGTTTTATAGACGAACAATATTTTTTTGTTATTAAACCAGGACCGTTTTAATCACAATATATTTACTTATCTCCTCTAAAAAATTGATGACGTCACCTCAAAATTTTGCTGAATAAATCCTATCTAAATTGTATAAAATATGATGAGTCTCTTCTTGTGATTTATCATTCCATTCATGTTTTTTGGATTTGCATATACAGGATGACCCCAAAAATTAATGAATGCGTAAATTTATTTTATTGATTTAATCAGGAACTACAGAACCCAATGCTTTAAAATCTTGCAAATGTTTTAAGGTTATAAAGAGCATAATAAATTTTTAGTCCAAATATATTTGCTTATCCCCTCCAAAAAATTGATGACGTCAGCTCAAAAGTTTGCCGTATAATCCTATTTAAAATTTACAAAATATGATGAGTCTCTTCTTGTAATTTATCATTCCATTAATATTTTTTGGATTCGGATATACAGGGTGACTCAAAAAATTTAATGAATGCGCAAATTTATTTTATTGATTTAATCAGGAACTACAAAACCGAATGCTTTGAAATCTAATGTGAAAAAAAAACATAATAGGCATGCAGTCGTCACGTTTCCGATAGCAGGGAAGTACTGGCTAAACTCTTTAGACTAATTTTTTTGATTTTCCCATTTTTCCATTTCTCGATTTTTCAATGTTTCAGTTTGGGATTTTTTCACTGTTTCGATTCTTTAATTTTCCTTCCATTTTTAGGTTTTTAAATTTTTCAATATTTTGATTTTTCAGTTTTTAAAGTTTTAGGCTTTTAGATTTCTCACTATCTCGACTTTTCGATTTTGCAGTTCCATGATTTTTCAATTTGTCGAATTTTTAAATTTTAGATTTTTTGTTCTCGACCATCAATTTTCTGAGTTTTCAGGCTTAGATTTTTTTTGTTTTTTAAATTTTCCTATTTATTAACTTACTGGGATTTCAATGTTTTGATTTTTTGGTTGTTCAATTTCTCGATTTTTTGAATTTTCAGTTTTTGATACGATTTTTTTTTTTCAAAAATGTTCAGTTTTTCAATTTATTAACTTCACGACATTTCAGTTTTACGATTTTAATTTTTTTTATTTTTCAGTTTTTAATTTTTTACGTTTCTGAATTTTTCAATTTTTCAATTTTTCGATTAACTGATTTTTTGATTTCCCATTTCTCTATTTCTTGATTTTTCAATTCTTTCTTCAATTGTGATTTTTCAATTTTACGATTTCTGGATTTTTCAATGTTTCAGTTTTGGATTTTTTCACTTTTCCGATTCTTCAATTTTCTTTCCATTTTTCAGTTTTTCAAGATTTCAGTTTTGAATTTTTTCATTTTTTCGATTTTTCAATTTTCCTTCCATTTTTCAGTTTTTCAGTATTTCAGTTCTGGGATTTTGCAATGTTTCGGTTCTTCAATTTTTCCATTTATTGATGTTTCGATTTCTCGGTTTTTCAATTTTTCGATAGGTATTTTAATTTTTCAATTTTTAAGTTCTAGATGTTGCGTTAATTTTTTGTTTTCCTTGATGTTTCGATTTTTAAATTGTTTAATTTTTAGATTGTTCAATTTCTCTTGCTTTCTGTTGAGTAGGTCGTAATTTATTTCAGACGCGTGTCCTTAATTCCACTTAATTGAACACCCTGTATATTAATTACTACAGTCGAAAAATGTGTAGGTTGGGAAACCGTTGTGATCAAAAACATCTATCAATTAGTGTTTTGTTTTTGCAGCTACGGCGGCGCCCACATCGGCGACCAGATGCGCGACCTTGACCGCGGCTGCCACCTCCTCGTCGCCACCCCCGGCCGCCTCCTCGACATGATCGACCGCGGCCGCATCGGCCTCGACTACTGCCGCTACCTCGTCCTCGACGAGGCCGACCGCATGCTCGACATGGGTTTCGAGCTGCAGATCCGGCGCATCGTCGAGAAAGAGACCATGCCCAAGACCGGCGAGCGCCAGACCCTCATGTTCTCGGCCACGTTCCCCGGCCCCATCCAGATGCTCGCCCGCGACTTCCTCGACAACTACATCTTCCTGGCGGTGGGCCGCGTCGGCTCCACCTCCGAGAACATCACCCAGAAGGTGGTGTGGGTCGAGGAGCACGACAAGCGCTCCTTTTTGCTCGACCTGCTGAACGCCGCCGACTTGACCCAACCGTCCTCCGAGAGCCTGACGCTCGTCTTCGTCGAGACCAAGAAGGGGGCCGACTCCTTGGAGGAGTTCCTCCACATGGAGGGCTATCCCGTGACGTCCATCCACGGGGACCGCAGCCAGCGGGAGCGCGAGGACGCGCTGAAGCAGTTCCGTTCAGGGAACACCCCGATCCTGGTGGCGACGGCGGTGGCGGCCAGAGGGTTGGACATACCGCACGTCAAGCACGTGATCAATTTCGACCTGCCGTCGGACATCGAGGAGTACGTCCATCGGATCGGGCGTACCGGGAGGATGGGCAACCTGGGGCTGGCGACGTCGTTCTTTAACGATAGGAACAGGAATTTGGCGAGCGGGTTGTTGGATTTGTTGATTGAGGCCAAGCAGGAGTACCCGAGTTGGTTGGAGGGCGTGGCGGCCGACGGGCGGATGCCGAGCTCGGGGCGGCGCGGGGGCAAGAGTCGCTACGGGAGCGGCGGGGGTAGCAGTTTCGGCGGGAGAGATTACCGACAGCAGTCGGGAGGAGGACCGTCGAGAAGTCAGAGATCTGGAGGAGGAAGTGCTGGGTATGGGAATAACGGATTCGGAAATAATGGAGGTGAGTTGAAGTTTATGGGAGCGCGTAAGTCCGGCGGCCGTAGGTGGAATTGAAGAATGTAATTGATGGCAGAAAAATAAATTTTACGTGTATGTGGCGGTTTTTGTTTGGGAGTTGCTAAGCAGAGTCGGGAAGATGAAGTACGCAGGGAGCGGCTACGTCCTCTGCTGAGGTTGTTCACGTTGTTGATTTGAAGTTGTTATAGATTTGTTTTTTGTAAGATACGATTGTAAATGTTTTCCAAAATTTGTAAAAGCATGATTTTTTGAAATTTTTCGACTGTCTGTCTCTTCGCTGCTAGATGCGTTTTTACGATTTCTTAGTTTGGTTTTTTTCCAACAGTGTTGTGGCATCCGGCATTTGACTAGATGGACGTCTTCACCATGGAAGTTATTATTGTAGACATAGTTTGGAATAACGGAAAATAATCAAAAGTACTTTATAATCAAAAAACACACGAGTAAGTTTAAAAATGGATAACACAACGCAGCACTTTTAAAAATATGGTTTACCAGGAATTTGAGTTTTAATATAATAAAAGACAGTTACATATTTGTGATGCAGTTTCAGTGTTACCATTTTCTGAATCCTGGTAGAGCTTTCAACGATGTCGATTGATTTATTTGAGTACTTTACATAAATCTCCCTTCTTAGTTCAGTTCTTATAATCGTATACTATAAAAACCGAATGTAATGACAAGTTGAATTGCATACAAAATGGTGTCGAAAGTGCTTAGCACCTCCGAGCTACCGCCACAACTTTCTAGTGTCAACTTGGATCGCATATTTGTTTTTATAAGATACCGGGTGTCTGCAAAATGGTGGATTAACTCTTCAGTACGTGATCTACGGGGGTTTCGAGAATTCTCTATATATATAAAAATAAAATTGGCAACACGGCGGGCACCCAATGCGTGAATACCTCGCTGACTTTCTGATTTTTTAGTAACTATGGTCGCGGAAACCCACCTTTATTTTTTTATTTTTTTAAGACAACCATAACGTCCAACAGTTATTAATAGTTATGCATTGTTATTAATAAAAGAAGCCGTTATTTTTCATTAATAATTAAACCCCCCAAAAAAAATTTAGTAAGACATTTATAAATTATTAACAAAAACTTATCTTGGCCCCGCCCACCCGCCCTTTAATTTTTTCGAGGATATGTCATTTGGCAATATCAGTTTTATCTTGGAAAGTACAGTGCCGTCAAAATAGGTCGGTATGAAATTTTTGTAGATAAAAAAGGAAATTATTTTTAATTTTTGTTCCAGAAAATACAGCTGTTTATATGTTCACAGAAATGATTAAAATTTCAGTGATTGATTTAATTCGATCCCAATGAAATGGATGATCTTATGCTGAAGAGAATTAAAATTAGTCGGCAGGATGAGAAGAACGGGGTGGGCGGGGCTAGTATTAGCTAAGATATGACTGTTTTCGGCAAATCACATATCTTTCATAAAAATCGAGGGTGGGTGGGCGGGGCTAGTACTTGTTAAAATAAGACTGATTTTGGCAAATGACACCCTTTAACAGAATAGAGGGTGGGTGGGCGGGGCTAGTATTTCATAAGATAAGACTATTTTTAGCACTTTTGGCATTATCGATCATTTTTCAACCATTTTCGAAACATAGTTAAAGCCATTTTCTGGTATATTTCAACATCTAAGTCATTTTCGGCTCCGTTTCATCATTTTTCCAGAATCGCCAATTGAAATATGGCAATTTTTACGATTTAAAAAAAAAAATCACTTTCAAATCGACGCAGAAATTCTGAATTTCGCCAAGAATGCGTTTACGAGAAAAAAAATTGGAGCTGGAAATGAACACCATACTTTTTTCACTAAACATCAGAAACATTTTTTGAAGAACCGCTTGTAGTTGATATTTTGATTTTTTTTAATTATTCGGCGTCAAATTTTTACCAATTTTTTTCAAAATTATATAAATATAATTTTTTCTTCCCAAACGATTCCTAAGGAAAAAATCTCACTGCGATGATCTTTCACGTTTTTTTAGTATGTCAGATCTCATAGAATACGAAAATATAGGTATTACCGTTTTCATCTGACTTTTGGATGATTTTATAAAAAAGATGTCCAAACTACTGATTCTTGGCTACTGCGAAATTTTAAATGTTGATTCTAACATTTATCTAGATCTTGGCAAGTATTGGCCCCGCCCACCCACCCTTATTTTCTTCGAGGGTATGCCATTTGGCAATATCATTTTTATCTTAGCAAGTACTAGCCCCGCCCACCCGCCCCTTATTTTCTTAGAGAGGAGGTCATTACCAAAATCAGTCTTACTTTGGCAAGTACTAGCCCCACCCGCCCACCCTTTATTTTCCTAGAGGGTATGTTATTTGGCAAGATCAGCCTTATCTTGGCAATTATTAGCCCCGCCCACCCACCCTCTATTGTTTTAGAGGCCTGCTAAGATATAGTTTCCCCAGTTCCAATTCGGTTTTATAATATTGTGTAGAAGTTAACTTCCCTAACAATAGAACACTTGCTGGTGATGGGCCAGTCATAAATAAGGACTTACCCATGCCGTCACCTTTATATAGAATATAAATTATGACTGTTCCTTCATCGCCAGTAGTAACCTATTGTTAAGGAAGTTATCTTTAGCACATCATAAAACCGAATTAGAACTGGGGAAACTATAAGACTGATTTTGACCAATGAGATCCCTTTAAGTAAATAGAGGACTGGGGGTGGGGCTAGTACCTGCTAAAATAAGATCGATTTTGGCAAATGACAAATCCTCCAAGAAAGGGGAGGGTGGGTGGGCGGGGCTAGTACCTGTCAAGATAAGAATGATTTTGGCAAATGAGATACCTTCTAAGAAAAGACTGGGCGGGTGGGCGGTATTAGTGCCTGCTAGGATAAGATTGATTTTTGCAGATGACATATCCCCTAACAAAAAATATCATTTGGCAAAATCAGTGTTATCTTGGCGAGTACTAGCCCCGCCCACCCACCCTTGATTTTTTTCAAGGATATGCCATTTGGCAATATCGGTTTTATCTTGGCAAGTACAGTTCCGTTAAAATAGTTTGGTAACAAATTTTGGTAGATAAAAAAGGAAATTATTGTTAATTTTTCAGAAAATACAGCTGTTTTAAGAATGTACTTTGTGGTTTTCATATGTTCACAGGAATGTTTAAAATTTGTTTTTTTGAGACGATAGTGAGTGCAGGACAGGTCAGATCACGTTAGGTCAAGTCAGGCCAAGTGCACGAAATAAGAAATAAATTTTATAGCAAATAGTATAACAAAACAAATGATTAGCCCTGCCCACCCACCCTGCCTTTATTTCAGTGACGCTTTTGATTCGGTCTGAATGCAATGAATGATCTTACGCTGAGGAGAATTAAAATTAGTCGGCAGGATGAGAAGAACGGGGTGGGCGGGGCTAGTACTTGCTAAGATGAGACTAACTTTGGCAAATCATATATCCTCCAAGAATATAGAGGGCGGGTGGGCGGGGATAGTATTTGCTAAAATAAGCCTAATTTTGGCAGATGACATATCTTCCAAGACAATAGAGAACTAGAACTAGTTAAGATAATAATGATTTTGGCAAATCACATACTCTCTAAGAAAATAGAGGGTGGGTGGGCAGGGTTAGTATTTGATAAAATAATACTGATTTTCCCATTTTTGACATTTTCGACCATTTTTCAAATATATCCGAAAGTAAGTTGAAGACATTTTATTGTAGCTTTCGATATCCAGAAGTTATTTTCGCTTTCGTTTCTTCGGAAATTTCTACCGTTTTTCAAAAATCGCTCATTGAAATACAACAATTTTTAGAGTTTCGTCAAAATAGCTCTTTATAAAAATGATGTCGATGAAAAAGGAAAATTATTATTAATTGTTGTTCCATTATTCCATTATTAGATTCCACTCCCACTCGACAGAAGAAAATAATTAGCCCCGCCCACCCACCCGGTCTCCTTTTCACTTATTGATTTTATGCGAATTGAATGAAATGAATGATCTTATACTGAACAGAAACAAAATTAGTACTTAGAATGAGAAGAGGGTAGGTGGGCGGTGCTAGTACTTGCTAAGATAAGACTGATTTTGGCAAATGACACACCGTCTAAGAAAAGACTGGGCGGGTGGGCGGGGTTAGTGTCTGCTAGGATAAGACTGATTTTTGCAGATGACGTATCCCGTAACAAAAAAGAGGGTGGGTGGGCGGGGCTAGTACCTGTCATGATAAGAGTGATTTTGGCAAATGAGATACCTTCTAAGAAAAGACTGGGCGGGTGGGCGGGATTAGTGCCTGCTCGGATAAGACTGATTTTTGCAGATGACATATGATTTAACAAAAAAGAGGCTGGGTCGATGCTAGTACTTGCTAAGATAAGCCTAATTTTGGCAGATGACATATCTTCCAAGACAATAGAGGGCGGGTGGGCGGGGCTAGTACTAGTTAAGATAATAATGATTTTGGCAAATCACATACTCTCTAAGAAAATAGAGGGTGGGTGGGCGGGGTTAGTATTTGATAAAATAATACTGATTTTCGCATTTTTGACATTTTCTACCATTTTTCAAATATATCCGAAAGTAAGTTGAAGACATTTAATTGTAGATTTCGACATCCAGAAGTCATTTTCGCCTTCGGTTCTTCGGAAATTTCTACCGTTTTTCGAAAATCGCTAATTGTAATTGTTGTATGTTAGAGTTTCGTCAAAATAGCTCTTTTTAAAAAAATGTTGTCGATGAAAAAAAAAGTATTATTAATTTTTGTTCCATTATTCCATTATTAGATTCCACTCCCACTCGACAGAAGAAAGTTATTAGCCCCGCCCACCCACCCAGTCTCCTTTTCAGTGATTGATTTTATGCGAACTGAATGAAATGAATGATCTTATACTGAACAGAAACAAATTTAGTACTTAGAATGAGAAGAGGGTGGGTGGGCGGGTTTAGTGCCTGCTAGGATAAGACTGATTTTTGCAGATGACATATCCTCCAACAAAAAAGAGGGTGGGTGGGCGGGGCTAGTACCTACTAAGATAAGACTAACATTGGCAAATGAAATTGCGTCTACTAGCCCGGCCCACCCGCCCTTTTTTTTGAGAGGGCTAATACCTTCTAAGATATAGTTTCCCCAGTTCTAATTCGGTTTTATGATGGTACCCCATTGTGTAAATAAAAGCAAATGACAAACCTTCTAAGAAAAGAGAGGGTGGGTGGGCGGGGCTAGTACCTGTTAAGATAAGAGTGAGTTTGGCAAATGACTTATCCTCTAGGAAATTTAATTAAATTATTATAAGAAAAGACACTAGAGGTTCCAGCGTACTTTCAAATTCTTTCCAAGCAGGAATATCTAGAACCTCAAGATTGTTTTAAATTTTCCAAAAATAGAACACCAAAGTCCCCCAAAATTGTTTAAATAATTTACAAATAAAATCTCCATGGGCTCCCAAAATAGTGCACCCAAGAGACTCCCGAATTAAAAAACAAAAACACTGCTGCACTTAAGATTTTTTCAAATTCAACAAAAAATAAAACACTAAAAGCTCAAAAGAATTTTTCAAGTTCATTTTTTAATGTTTTTTCCACTCACTAGTTGATTGTCAAGAGCGCAACGCAGAGTTAATCCGCCATTTTCCAGACACCCTGTATAAGTACGTCTTTCGAGAATTTCTCGACTCGAATCGAATGGTTTTAATTTTTGCAATGTTCGTTTGTATTTTTTAATTTATCCCATTCTTCCTTTTGTTGATTTAAATCCTCCTTTTGTTCATTATCTTCTCCTTGTAATTGTCTTCATTAAGAACTGCGCTGGAGCCCTATCGAGTTGATAAGTCGAATTTATTGAAATCAAGAGAAAAAATCGAGACTTCTAGGGTAAAACTCATTTTATAAAATTTAAATAATATTTAGTACTTTTGGAAATGGCGTCATAACATCAACAAGAACTGGAGTTGCGCTAGTGTAAAACCGGCTTCAAGACACGTGCATTTTAACCAATACGAACGGTAGGTTTGTTGTTTACTGTTATGACTATATGTTCTTCCCAATACTTTTCCACTGGCAGTCCACGTGTTAAAAAACGTCCATTTTACAATTATAAATAAGTTCATATTTCTAGCTTACGGTTAATTACGGACTAGCATCAATGTGATAGTAACTCGATAAACAATGACACTATCTTTAAAAGTCCATTCAATAATGATACAAAAAATTGACGTGACAGTTCAAGTTCAAGAATAATTAAGTATATATGTTTGTAAGGTGCGGTGCCAACGCGGTTGGCGAGCCGCGTGTCGGTGTGCGGTTGCTAATCCGTGGACTTTGTTTCAGGTGGCCACTACGGCATGGACCGCGGCGGCAACTTTGGCGGTAACTACAACTCCAACTCGAACGCCAACAGTCGCGACGACTGGTGGGAAAATTAACGAAGTAATCCAAGTTTTTCTTTCAATAGACTACCCCATTGCAATAGCGGTTCCCCCCAGACCATCCAGGCGTTCAACTTTTTATTTTATGTGCGTGTGTGTAACTTTATTTGCAGGGGCATTACATGAAGTTTTACACTTCTTTCTTCATCTCGTTTTCTTTTTTTACATAGTTAATTTATTGCTCGTCGTTGTCGCCGTTACTCAGCCTGGATGATTGTAATACACTTCACTGACACACATACTATGCATAAATGAATTAATTACGATTACAGTAGATAATCTAGTTATTGCTAGAGATTTAAGGAACAAAAACATTTCCGCAATTATAGTTTGTATTGGCATAATCGAGTGTGTGGTTTTCTTTAGTTGTTGGCGCCCCCCGGGGCGACGGACGCATGTACACATTGTGCAAATGGGTATGTAATTTATATTTTGCTATCCCCAGTACCGATAGCACGTGATCTTGAATAAACTGCGACTTTTAAGTATTGCTGAGCCAAAAAGATGTATCTCTTATTTATTGACGAAACGTTAAACTTATCGAAGACGTTCTAGTCTCACTGTCGGACATGACCGAATTGGGGGTAGGGCTCAAATAGCGTTGCAGTTACAGCTGAGAGGCGCTAAGAGTATTCTTCTGTATACGACTGTGATATTTACCGATCTAACGTAAAGGTTAAGATACGTAGCATATGGTTGGCATCGTCAGTGCAGTCGCGGATAAATCTTAGCGTACGAACAATAATTAACGTAGCGTAAGTCGGTCTTAGTGAAGTTCGCCATGTTAGAGTGGGCACATATTTCGTGCCTCCTACTTAACCTCACTTTCCTTCGGGCGGTTCCGTTCGGTTTCGTTTCGTCTCGTCTCGTCTCGCAGATGTTGTTTGATTCGCACTCCCTGTGATATGGTTAGAAAATTGGTGCCTATTCTAACAGAATGTGATTCTCGTTTATAACTATTTTAGGAGCTGTGACTGCAACCGTGCTGCGATTCAAGCGCCCCGGGGCGGCTCGCCGCCCCCACACCGGGGACGCCGAGCCGACCGGGGGCGGGTTGTTACTAGTTGGAATTTAAAGGGATGGCAAAATGCTCCGTTACTCTCATCTCATGTGTGTCGAGAGTATTTATAACTTATTTTAATGCATTTACAACTTGTTCTGGTAGAAAATGCTGTTACGGCATTATTGATGATAAATAAAAGATATTTCAACTCCACTCGACTTTTTTTCACACCACCCCCTCTATGTACATCTTTATTTTTAATTGTCTTTTAAATTATCGTCGCAGCGCTATTGTGGTATCTCTTATTAGTTGCCGAACACAGGAATTCGCTAATTAAGTACGGTGTGTGGGCAAAAAGTACTGATAATGTTAAAGTGCTACGTTTACCATTATTTATGGGCGTAAATTAAGCTGTTCGAAGTGTAATACGGGGGTTATCGGAACTTTCCTAATTAAAGTCAATTCTAAGTGCTATTTAAATTACACGTTTGACGTTATAATTGTAAGTCACTTGCGTTTAGATACAAAGTGAATCAACAGTTGAACTAATCAACGAGATTGTGGTAAGTAGACTTTTATTTTACGTTATGTGTACCGACAAAAACATGATATTTGAGTAACTCGATTACTGTGTTACTTTGATGAAGAAAATCGGAAAAGTGTGTGAACTGCTACACTTTGATACTCTAATCGCGGCGGGTTATTAGTGTCACGACTGAACAAACAATTTTCTGTATTTACTTAGTGTAATTTACTATTTGTACGTTTTATACACGTCAAATTACCCACAAGTGTGACGTTGATTTCACAGATGTGTGAAACTTGAAACTAACGTTACATTTTAACGCCGAAACAACGTCAACATCAAAATTAGTGAAAATTACAGAAAAAGAAGACATTTTACCTATGATTTAGAAAAGATAAGTGTTGTAATTGAACAGTTTTTAATTTAATCTAATCAGAAGATTCAGCAACTTTTCTGGCACGTCCTGTATAAACAATTCTAAAAAAGTCAGGTCATACTTTCAAACCACTAATAAATAAAGAGCGTATCACACTACAAATTTTAAGTGAGGTTTCAGTTGTAAAATCTTTGGGATGACATCAAATTTTTGGCGAGGAAAGTGGGACAAATTTCAATTTGCGTTCAAATTTAAAAGAATCTGAAAAAAAATCTTCGGGCTCCTGATGTTTTGAAACAACATGAATGAATCTCGGAGAACAATTTGTGTTTTGTTTGTAAAAAAAGGTAATACAGCTCGCTTCGCTCGCTGAAAGAGTCTAGAGGATATGAATACATTATTTAACCTCAAATAAAGCATGACATCACAATATAAATTTCAAGGCAGATGTAGGTACTAAAATTTCACAGGAATCAGTGATTTTGGAGATTATCTGTCTAATAAAATTGCCAACAACTTAACATAAGGAAACGGGAGATCTACTTTTTCCAATTCTAGGAGCCATGGCACATCGAGAAAAAACAATATGCATTATGTATGTATGTATGTTATGTGTATCACAAATAAAATGTCGCAACCCCCAATTGTATAGTTTGTAAAGGAGCGAGATGTGTTGGACTATGTACTTTCAGGGCAAGGGAAGTTCTGTCGAAATAACTTTTGACCAATTTTTTGTGTTGCTTTTTTGCCGCCTTTTGTCTGTCCCCTTTTTTTGTCGCCTTTTTGTTCCGTTTATTTTGCCTGGTTTGTGATCTTGTTTTTCACCCTTTTACCGTTTTTTTGTTTTTTTCCGTGTTTGTTTGTTGGGTTTTCTGACGTCCTTTCTTTTTAACAATTTTTTCTTTGGCCGCCCCCTTTTTGTCCAATTTTTGTAGTCCTTTTTTGCCGTTTTTGTTGTGGTCTTTTTCGACACCTTTCTTTGCAACCTTTTTTGGCGCTTTTTGTTCGTCCCCTTTTTACTTCTCGAGCGTAAGCTAAGGAAGTATTGTAATCGAGTCCATCGATCGAATTGCCACTTTTTTATTTGTCTTTTTTTGTCTCTTTTTTGTCGCTATTTTTTGTATTCTTCTGTCGTCCTTTTTTTGCCGTTTTTGTTGTCGCCCTTTTTTCTCACCTTTCTTTTGCCTGGCGTATCGTCTTATTTTTCAACCTTTTTGTTTTTTTTTTGTTTTTTCCGTCTTTTTTTGTAGGGTTTTATGACGTCCTTTCTTTTTAACAATATTTTCTACCTTTTTCGTTTTTTTTTTGGGCTCGTTTTGGGATCTTTTTTCGTTTTTTCTTTGACTGCCCCTTTTTGTTCTATTTTTGCCGTTTTTGTTTGTCCCTTTTGTCCTTTTTTTGTTGCATTTTTGCCCTTTTTGACACTATTTTTTGTCTTTTTTTTTTCTCGTTTTTGTTGTCACTCTTTTTTCTCACCTTGTTTGGCATTTTTCTCGCCCTTTTTTGTTTCTTTTATGTTCCCCGGCTTGTCTTATTTTTCACCCTTCTTATCGTTTTTTCCGTCTTTTTTTGTAAGGTTTTTTGACGTCCCTCCTTTTTGACAATTTTTTTTCGCCCTTATTTTCGTTTTTTTTTGGGCTCGTTTTGGGACTTTTTCTTTGGCCGCCCCTTTTTGTCGTCCTTTTTTGCCGTTTTTGTTGTTGCCTTTTTTGAGCCCTTTTTTTGTGACTTTCTTTTGCCGCCTTTTGTTTGTCCCCTTTTTTGTCCTTTTTGATGAAGTTTTTGCAATTTTTTGTCTTGTTTTCTCGTTTTTGTTGTCGCCCTTTTTTTCTCACCTTTCTTTGCCATTTTGTCGCCCTTTTTGTTCCTTTTATTTTGCATGGCTTGTCTTATTTTTCACCCTTTCCATGTTTTTTTTTGTGTTTTTTCCGTCATATTTTGTATAGGGTTTTTTCGCCTTTTTTCTTTTTTTTAGGTTCGTTTTGGGACCCTTTTTTCGCTTTTTCTTTGGCCGCCCCTTTTTGTCCAATTTTTGTCGTCCTTTTTTACCGTTTTTGTTGTTGCCATTTTTTTGACATTTTTTGTGACCCTTTTTTCCTGCCGCTTGTTTGTTCCCTTTTTTTGTCGTTTTTGTTGTCCTTTTTCTCACCTTTTTTGTCGTTTTTGTGGTCCTTTTTTGCCGTTTTTGTTGTTGCCCTTTTTTTGACATTTTTTGTGACCTTTTTTGCTGCGATTTGTTTGTCCTTTTTTTTGTTTTTTGTCCCCTTTTTTGTTTTTTTTTTGGTCCCTTTTGCTACTTTTTTGATGCTTTTTTTTGTCTTTTTTGTCGTCCTTTTTTGTCGTTTTTGTTGTCACCCTTTTTTGCCATTTTGTCGCACTTTTTGTTCGTTTTATTTTGTGTGGTTTGTTCTCTAATTTTTCACCCTTTTTTATCGTTTTTTTTTATTTTTTTCCGTCTTTTTTGTAGGGTTGTCTGACGTCCTTTTTTTTTAACAATTTTTTCGCCCCTTTTTTGTCGTTTGGGACCTTTTTTTCGCTTTTTCTTTGGCCGAAACCTTTTTGTCTTATTTTTGTAGTCCTATTTGTCGTTCTTGGTGTTGCCCTTTTTTTTGACACTTTTCTTTGTGACCTTTTTTGGCTCCTTTTTTTAAGCTAAGGAAGTATTGTAATCGAGTCCATCGGCCAAATTGCCACTTTTTTTAATTTGTATTTTTTGCCGTTTTTGTTGTCGCTTTTTTTTCTCACTTTTTTTTTGCCATTTTGTTGCAATTTTTTGTTCCTTTTATTTATTATTATTATTTTTCACCCTTGTTACAATTTGTTTGTTTTTTTCCGTCTTTTTTTGTAGGGTTTTATGAACAAATTTTTCGACGTTTTTTTGTTTTTTTTTGTGTTTTTCCGTCATATTTTGTATAGGGTTTTCTGTCGTCCTTTCTTTTTAACAATTTTTTCGCCTTTTTTCGTTTTTTTGGCTCGTTTTGGGACCTTTTTTTTCGCTTTTTCTTTGACCGGACCTTTTTGTCTTATTTTTGTCGTCCTTTTTTGCCGTTTTTATTTGTCTTTTTTTTGTCCATTTTTTTGTTGCATTTTTGTCCTTTTTTGACAATATCTTTTGCCTCGTTTTTGTTGTCACCCTTTTTTCTAGCTTTTTGCCATTTTTGTCGCCCTTTTTTGTTTCTTTTATTTTGCTTGGCTTGTCGTCTTATTCTTCACCCTCTTTATTGTTTTTTTTTGTTTTTTCTTTTTCGTTTTTTGTTTGTAATGTTTTCTGACGTCCTTTCTTTTTAACAATTTTTTCGCCCTTTTTCTTCGTTTTTTTGGGCTCGTTTTGGGTCCTTTTTTTCACTTTTTCTTTGGCCGCCCCTTTTTATCCTATTTTTGTCGCCTTGTGTTTGTCCCCTTTTTTACATGTCTTTTTTTTGGTACCCTTTTTTATGGTGTATTTTTTGTCCCTTTTTTGTCGCTGCTTTTTGTCCTCTTTAGTCGCCCTTTTTTTGTCGTTTTTTTATCAATTTTGTCGCCCGTTTTTGATCCTTTTATTTTGTCTGGTTGTCCTCTTATTTTTCACCCTTTTTTATCGTTTTTTTGAATTTTTTCCGTCTTTTTTGTAGGGTTTTCTGTCGTCCTTTCTTTTTAACAAATTTTTCGCCCTTTCTTCTTCGTTTTTTTTTTTGGGAGAGGGCTCGTTTTGGGACCTTTTTTGCCATTTTTGATGTTGTCCTCTTTTTTTTATTTGTCTTTTTTGTCCTTTTTTTAATGCTTTTTCTGTCTCTTTTTTTGTTGCAATTTTTTGTCTTCTTTTGTCGCCCTTTTTTCTCATTTTTTTTGTCATTTTGTCGCTGTTATATTTCTTTTATTTTGCCTGGCTTGTCGTCTTATTTTTCATCCTTTTTATCGTTTTTGTTTTTTTAGTCTTTTTTGACCTTTTTTTTTGTTTTTTCGTTTTTTTTGGGCTCGTTTTTTTCGCTTTTTCTTTGGCCGCCCCTTTTTGTCTTATTTTTGTCGTCCTTTTTTGCTGTTTTTGTTGTTGTCCTTTTTTTCTGACCTTTGTTGCCGTCTTTTTTTGTCCCTTTTTTTATGTGTCTATTTTTTGGGTCTTTTTTTTTGGTGCATTTTTTGTCGCTATTTATTGTCTTTCGTCACCCTTTTTTTATCGTTGTTGTGGCCTTTTTTTCTCACCTTTTTTTGCCATTTTGTCGCTCTTTTTTGTTCATTTTATTTTGCCTGGCTTGTCTTATTTTTCACCTTTTTTATGTTTTTTTGTTTATTTCCGTGTTTTTGTAGGGTTTTCTGACATCCTTTGTTTTTAAC